AAGGTATTCGAAGATACCATAATTTTCTGTTAGGAGTAATTCGATAGTACCGGTTGATTGAATTATACCGTAATTTCCCTGCAGGGTTTGCTGCAACGAATATTTTGTAAAATTTGCATTTTAACAGGCATGTCGGTCGTTATTTTTATAATGGGCCCACTGGTAGCCTGTCCACCTGTCGCGTTCGATGAAAACGTAATTCTGACTAAATGACGGAACTAATGATTCGACGAAGGAGCACATACGTGTTTGCCGGTAACGTTCGACCGTTTAATTAAAAGATATACATCTGCAGAAAATGAAGTGGAAATAAGCACTTGCATCAACGACATTCAATGTATTTTATAACTTAACTTTATATCGAATTTACTTTCAGATCTCACGGTTAATTGGTACTTACTCGATCCAAAGTCTGAATCGCTGTTTTAAATATCCAGTATCGGTAGCGTTAACATCTTGAACATCCAGGATCAGAATGACCTCCGCGTAAAAGCGTTCTCGTACATTTTGATAGATGGGATTCTATTCTACTGTAACGAAAGGATTCCATTACTTTTATAAACGCTGTATCCTGAACAATCTGAACAAAAACTGTTGGAGAAGTTTCGTGGCAAAAAGATGGTTTTGCAAGTGGCGAGGAACCGCGCGGACAGAAGGGAAGAGCGAAACGAGAATGGAAGGGCTGTATCTGGAACGTCCCAGGGTCATCGAAAAGGGCCCACGTTTTACGATCCTCTCTCGGCCGACAGAAGCCACTAGACGAGGAGTCGAAGGACTGGCGAAAGGAGGAACCGAACGATGATGACGAAAAAGAGGGCAGGAGTAGAGAGGCTCGCTAGAACGAATGGCTCTGCCAAATTAACCATGATTTATGGGGACTGCCGGCCAATATTCCATTCTATTAACATCACATTATCCGTCCGTAAAATTACATGCCAACGACCCCGATTTTCGGGAGCCGGTCCTGGCACAAAGTAATCTTTCCACCGATGCTGGTCGTTCGCGTTACGCGCGATGGCCATTTTGCGTCTGGAACGCGATAAAACGCTTTCTTTTAGCGAGTGAGAAACGACGGCGATTAAATCGCAAGTGGATTCAGACCTTGTCGGTTAAGTTCGAAACACTTTGGTTTCTAACGTTTTTGCAAATAAATGCTCTTCGATATTTAACCCGTATCGTGCGATAACATTTTTCCCCGATATTTAAATGTATCAATTTACGAGCGACAAACATCATCTATCGCGGGGGGATCGATGCTTTTGTTTCGAGCGAAATAAATCGGGTGGAAATTTGTTGCTCGACGAAAGTCAATATTTTCGCCAACCGTGAACAATTTTTCTTTCGGTCCTTTCCATTGTTTTATTAAAAGTTTTCTCTTTTTCCCTCCCAGGCGGATGCTTTTCAAAAAGTTCGAAAGCTACTGATTTACGCCACGGACGCACGAAATCCACGATCCATCGATAACGTAACGTTATCGAATAATCGACCGATCGTTTTTCCACGATGATACGCGTCGGATATTATTTATTGTTGGCGCTCCAATACGTGTTCGATTTACAACCACCGATCACCGACCGCCATTTCGTAGCCTAAAATAGAACCGCCGGTACAATGTTGTGTTCTATTGGTTGACTACATGTTGCAATATTATACGTGCACAGGGCACAAGCATCGAGTTGCAAGCTACAATGGAGCCCGCGCGCGTGTACAATTAATTTTCTCGTATCCATTCTATGCTGGATCTATTCGGGGCATTTTGGTATATTTCTCGACGAACAGTCGGTATCACGTCCGCTTCGCTGACTTCCGGGCGACGAATATTCGATAATAATCGATCGAATTCGATGCAGCTCTATCGACCATGCTTAACTATATTAGTCGATCGAAATGAATCGTTGTTGATAGCTTTGCTTCTCAATAGTTTGTGCCCTGGTACACTGCGTTTCTATATCGGTACTGCAATTTTTCTGTAACAAATGATCGATCGTAAGTCGTTTATCGTTTGGTAGGCCACGATTTTGGGCATCGCCGTTGGGGAGGACGCGTGCACAAAGGGCCACGCACGAGGAAGAAGATTGGGAGTCGTTCGAACGAGACGCGTCGCGTACGAGCGTAGCTCGTGTCCGGTCACCCGTTAAGAAGGAAGCTCGGGACCGATGTCGAAGATAAGACGGGGACGTATCCCCCTCTCCGTGGCATTCCCGGTGCTGTGGAAGGTCCACGAAGTGGTACCGAAGTTCGGGGACCAACGTGGCGGGGCCCTCACGTAATCCACGGATACGTCGCGACGAATTTGTACGTCTGCCCAATGAGCCAGAAGCCACCCTCCATGCCCTCCCTCGCGTTCGTCGTTCCCTTCTGGCCAGGTCCTCTTCCTCCCCCCCCCCCCTCGACCCCCGCCAGAACAGAGGAGAGAAGCCACGAAACCTGGCCCCGTATTCAAAATGGCTACCGTCCGCATCGGTGGGCATCCGATGTAAACTACCAAGCGCCCTTTTCGACGCTGGTCTCCCAAAAATCCCCCCTCACGTACCCCTCCAACCGATCGGCAGTTTTTCAGTTCCTCGACGTGCCACGCTCGTTTTTCGGGGATCAATTGTCCCCGATTAGAAGCGATCTAGAAACCGTCCAAACTCCGAGGAGACGGCGCATCTGGTGGACCCCGATGAAAATGGGTCGATGAGTCGGGTGGCGCGGGATCTTGATTGATACGATGTGGTGTCGATGATCGGGGGAGATCAAAGACCTGGAAAATGTTGCCTTCGTACCCCGGAGGACAGTTTGTGGTTCACTGTTTCGTACGCGATAAGGTAAATATACCTTACACTCTCCTCCTTAAGTCATTGAACGCCACATCATTTTGCTAATAGATAAAGCATCATTTTTCGTTGCATTGTACATTGGCTAAAATTCATTTGTATATTTTCAGTAATCCGAAGAAGGGTCAAGGGAAGACCCTGTTCATCCGCAAAATCGTAGGTACGATTGGTAGCATCGTACCGTCGTCGAACGCGGCGGAAAATCAACGGGTAGGGGGTACCAGGGAGCCACGGTAAAACGAGCGAGAATGGGAGTGACGGAGGGGTGGAGTAGGGGGGGCCGCAGAGAGAGGGAGAGAGAAAGGAGAGCACGGAGCTCGTGTTTCCGGCCGGGTGAACAACAATGCCCGCAGACAAATGAGCATCCCGCCTCCATTGTTCGCTTCATCGGCACGGCGCAGCCTCTCCCCTGGTACCCACCCCGGTTCCGTTTACGCCCCCCTCTCCTCCAGCCGTCATCATAGGCCCACGTTCCCGTTCCCGGCCTCGTCCTCGTCCTCGTCGTCGTACGTCGTCGTCGGCGTCGCCCTCGGAACACCCGGCTGGGGGGTCCCCGATCAACCTGATGCGGGCCAGCACCGATTAAACATCTCTGCTTCGTCGAATCTCCGTCAACGGGACCCCCTCCTTGCCCACCTCCGACCCCCCATTCCGACAGCGCTCTGTGCCACTCTTTTGTCTCTTCACGTGAGTCCTACCCGTCTTCTCCTCTATTTTTACCCTCATTGTCTCCGGTGTGCGCTCGATGAAAGTTAACGTACGTCGATGTCGTTCGGATCGAGCTTGTCGATCCTTCTTCCTTCTTTTTTTTCCCCTTCGATTTGTTTGCATCCCCGTACTCCCGCTCGGCGTGTATACAGTGGCTGCCAAAAGTTTCCGGCCAAACTATCGCTTTAACATATCTCTTCGAATAGACAAAACGTTAACAAGAACTTTTTGCAGCTACTGTGTACATGTATATTTTACTTTTTTTTTTTTTTTTTTTTTTTTAATTCTTGTTTTGCCTCGCATCGCGTTTATTTATTTAACCGAAGCGCGAAGCCAACCCCGCCTCGTTGCATCCGCGTTATGTTACGCGTGTTGCATTTTTTTGTATTCGCACAGCGGGGACACCGTATCGAGGAAGTATCAATTTTTACGTCGGGCATCGTTTTTCAATTTCTTATCAACGTATAATCACTCGATGCCCGCCAAGAACGATCGAATCGTTTTCGATGTACATTTTTGAAAATTATTCCGATCGACGAACTCGTTTCGATCGTTTAAATAAGGTTTCGCAGTGTATATCGTTACACGACCCGTCGGAGGGAAAATTATAACCAAATTTATCGAGGGGATCATCGAGGCATTTTCTGTTTTCCATTGTTGTTCAAATTCCATCGCGATGTTAGTCATATTATACGGTAATTGATATCCAATTGCACAATTTTATTCGATCATTATCGAATTCTTTTTACGGGGTTCACTTTCGATCTATTAACGTATGTATAACGTATATATAACGTATGTATAAATATTTACTACTGTAAGAATATACAATCTTACTATCTTTGCGGGCAACACTGATTGCATCTCGGATGCATACTATTATACATACTTGTCCATTAAGTTTCGATGGTATTTCATGAACGTTTGTCGACCTAATCTTACTAAATTATACGTACGAATTTTTAGAATACGCGGTCAAGTGGCAATAAGGAGGTAACGCGAGAGACTCGGAGGGCCAGATGTCGTGCAAGGATTCAGAATCTTCAGGTTCATTCATGGCTCTTATGGCAGAGCACCTTGCTCGAACCGAACATAGTCGACCTCCTGTACCACAGAAATTCGATACTGTACGGAACTTCAGAACCATGTGTTATATCCCACTCTACAATTTATATATGATTCGTGATTCTTTTTCCCTCTTAATTGGCTTTAACTTGTCGTCAGAGATGGACAACACTGTTACAATCGACAATATTATTTAATTAATAATAATTAAGAATTAGTATAGCAATTGTCCAGTAAACGAAAGATTCCTGTACAAATTGATCGATACGGTTTCCTCGACAATGCAAACATTGAAAATAATGTTTGCTATAAAAGAAATACACACCCATAGTATTTCAATCCGTTTATGTTGACTATTGATAAACAAAAATTTATTTCATTGTGCATTTTACAAACAAAATTACCGATTTACAATATGGAAGATATTTTCCGATCTATTTTGGCGCCATTTTCTGTCTTCTCGTTTAACTTTTCGTCGAAGGTTCTCATATCGTCTAATAGTTCTTCGTACGGTTGCTGCACCGTGTCAGCGAATTCCATGCATCTTTTTAAAACAAATAGACAATAATATTAGATTTTAATTGACTTTGCATTGATTGTACTTACATATTATTGTCATTGGTTTCACAAAGTTTGCACGTTTCAGTCGCAGCAAGAGCTGCTTTATCTAATCCGTGCTCGTGAAAAACTTTTAATTGATCGTGCCACATTGTTCTGATTAATTTTGAAGGTTCTTCAACGGTATCTTCTTCCTGTAATGGTTTCTTATCTACGAAATTGTTAAAAGTAAAATGTATACTTTTAGGGTTTCGTGTGGTTAAACAGACATTAAATATTTTCTTAATTAGTAACCGATAATTTATTTTATCTTTATTTTTATCGATAGTCTATGAATACACGTTAGAAATGCATAATTGAAATATGATTATACCTGGCGGTATTACAAAAGGTTTCAGATGACCCACAGACATACAGAATTTCCAAAATTCTATCACTTTTTGTTTTTGACTAACGCTAATGCGTTGATTAAATGCCAGTTTAATAAAAACCTCATCATTTTGCGACATAACCTTCAAGTATAATACCGCCGATTCTGTTGAATATGACAACGTCACTTCCGTTTTGGAAATATCACTAGACAAACGAACATATGTGAATCGGTCTTCTAGTAACAATCAGCGTTGCAATGATAACTTGGTCGATGATGCAGAATTCTACACGGCGATAAGTATTTACCATATGATACGAGTTCTCTAAGAATTGTTTGAAATTATTTTCTAAACTCGGCTTTTAAAGAATCTGATCAAATTTACTACTTCCTGTTACATTTAACATAAGTTGATTAACAAGCAAGGAATAGGCTATAAATCTTAAGGAATATTTTAGTGTTACGGTATAGGAATAAAATACTATGGGGAATGTCTTTATCTCCCCACTAAATAATATGTTTCCTTTTTTTAGTTTCAAGTTCGCGGAGAAGAATTTGAGAAACACGAATGGTAAGACTGACCGACACCACCGTTGGTTGGTAATGCAGTGCAAGAGCGGCAGCTTTTAAAAAAATTCAGTTTCGACGTTCTGAAAGCAGTAGCGAGTACTTGAGCGAAGATTTAATTAGAAGAAGATTGATTCAATAGAAGAACGGTAACGAAATGCTTGAACGAGACACGGTTGGTCGCGGAGGCGTGGTTTTCGTGTAGGTTGAAAATTAAGGGGAAAGGAAAAACGAATTAACCGTACGACGATGATGTCATTGCCCCGACAGGTTATGAGCAGTGCGCGGCGAGGATGTCAAGATGGCTGCCACGTACATCTGATCGGAGGTGTGTGTGCTCGCGAAATTTGACGCCGACCGTGATAAAAGGGGCTGTGTTTTTCGAGTCCCTGACATGGTGACAGTGCATAGTTAGTCGGCCTGTATCCATGAGGACCACTTTGTACACCATCGATGATAGTTCTTGTCGTCGCGGCCGGCGGCGGCTCGCATTGAACCATGTTCAGCAAAAAACTTCATGCAGACGTCAAAAAGTCAACACTGAAGATTCAGGATGTTAAAAAGGATAGCGCGACTCGGTTCAAGCACCTTAAAATCGTATTAGGTGAGCACACGTTTTTTTCCACCCGGTACACGGCGCCTCGTAATTAAGCCCAAACGTTAATTCGTCGTGGAAATTAAACGCGAATAACCAGTTTAACAGCGCGAGCTAATGAACATGACGACGGTTGAAGGAGAGGGGCGGCAATTTTGTTAGCATTTGCCGCCTACGCATCAACACGCCGAGACTCTATTAACGTTATCGTAGAACTTGTTCGTTGAAAATTCGGTCAAATGAATTTTTCCATTTGCCACGATGCCTGGTCTACTTCTTCCATCAGCTGTTATAGCGTTTGCGATATTTTTTCGAAAAAAAAAAACATGTTCCGAACTTGAACAGCACGTTGTCTACAGAATGAAAATATAATTCGAGCAATTAAATCTCGTAATGCAAATTTGGTAATAAATTAATGATAATGTCACATCATCGATATTGCATATTTATTTTATTTTGAAAATGGTTAATCTCCAAGCATTGTTTAACGTTGTTGTATGCTCGGTTTTGAGATGAAAATAATTTGCTCGCGTGCAATTAGAATACAAGGATCATGGTATTGAGAGGCAGTCGGTATCTAATCACCAAACCGCATAACCACACTAACCAGCCTACCATGGCCTCCAATTCCATCTAATGTTACATTATTATTACACACAGATAGTGGTACGTGCTTAAATGTTTAATCATCGTTAATCAATAAAATATCTTGTAGCTTGTTTGCGAAATATCACTATCAAATATATTCGATAGATTTTTAGGGAAGAACTTTTAATTTTCTAATAAACATAAATGTTTTGATCAATTTTTTAAATTTTAATCTAAAGAAAAAAATTATAAGGATATGTAAGATGATCAGGACTGTATTAGCTTATGTTTTTATCATTACGTGTAGCTATGCATAAGGACAATATTTGCAATGGTCATATGAGAACATAGAAGGAAAAAAGAAGTTCTACTATATAAGTACAGGTGCACAAGACCAGTGATGATGTAATAGAGGTTCCACAGCTCTCCCTATAAACCAAACCTCTTATGAAAGAAAAGTAGCTCTGATTTCTGATCTTATCTAACTTATAGTAAATGTTTATTAATATGTAGTCCGATAGAATTACTGTTCTCTGACATTAATGTTAATAGCACAAGTTAACAACTGTTTCGACATGTTTTATCCTTAATGTTGTAACAAATGAAATGTTAATAAAATCTTTTGGTCGTTCCTTTGTTAATATAAACAATTCTTTTTACTAAAAAGTTTGCTGTCTTTTTTACAGAAAATGTGGACACTGATGAGGCAAAGGGGTTTTTTGAAGGCAACTTCAGTCATGTTTATTTTATTCTGTATGATTGTTTTGTGTCAGCTGAAACAAATCTACGGCAAAGAGGTAAGACTATTCACCGACATAAATAGTTTATCTCTCGATAATATGAATTAAAACTGCATTGGCAAATAAATGTGTACACGACTGCAATTTCTCTTCCTATCGATGTAACTGAGTGCAGTTTTATTTATAGAAGTACGACTGTAATGAATGTATCAAATTTTACATATATAATTTTTTTAATCCCAAGTATCATACTTATTTTACTATTTGCTTGTTTTCTCTCTATTTTGCTGCCAGAACTTTCCTTCCACATTGGTGAGTAAAAGACAGATGACTATGTTTACGTTCCTGGCATGTTGTAGTCCCAGTTCTATTAATACGATCTATACATCAGATTGTATAAATACATTATTGTTATAACTTGGGGTGGGTCGGAAAATCTCTGCATTTGCAATTTCTGTAATCGTGAATTTACGAATCTACGTGGTTTATTTATTTAATAATCTTCTGAACCCTTAACTTAGAAACATATGTAATGTAATTTCAGAAGTAATCCCAGGTCTATTTATGACTAGCATGTACATAGAAAACCTTCAGATTGGAGCTTTTTTTGTATCTTTTTTTTTTATTCATTGTCAATGTAATATAGTTGAAAACTTAAGCAGACAAATATGACACACTTATCGAAGATATTAATTCCTTTATAGCACATAAAGCAAATAGGGAGGAATTGGAGCAAGTATTGCAGCTCTTAGAGAAAGTTTTGACACTTCTCCCAGAGCTTCTTAATAGGAGATGGCAATGTCACAGTCTGGCAAGAATTTTGCAAAAACTTTTACATCCTGGTAATAGTTGGAAACTTCGTAGACAAGCCTTAAGGTACATTAAAAACGTATCGTATGTAAATGCTTTGAGTGCATGACAGTGTTGTGTAAAAAAATATGTTTTAGCGTCGGAATTCTTGCATTTGTCAACGTCTGTGCATAATGTGGTGAAAATTAATTTTTCAGGTATTTTATTTTATGGTATCAAGCGCTTGGCGAAAATGCACCGGAGCATATACATCAAATGTTTGCGAGTTTGGTACCAGGGTTTCCACCCCAGCAGCCATCTCCTTACAAGTCTGAACGTAAGGCGGATGGGAAGAGGGATAAACTTGCAAAAGTAATTGGTTGTGATGATAAAGATAAGAAAGAATTTTATGATACGCAATTGTCGCAAAGTACTTTCCACGACAATGCCTCGAACCAATGTCCCGTCGCTCCTGTCGACGGAGGGCCCATTTTACCTCCGCAAAGCGGGGAGAAGCCTCTCGACAACGAGACTGTTCGTTTTTTAGAAGCATTACTTGAATTTATGGTTACTCAGGTACAAAAGAATACTCGCGCGTTATTTTAGTAAGTACAGTGCAATTTGGTAGCGTGTTACATCCGAGTTTTGTTTCCATCCTCTATACAGGTCATGAAGATAGAATGGCGTGATAAATCTTCACGACAGCACAAGACTTTTCAATTTTTGTTAGAACGTTTTAAAGTTGCATACCTTCGTCATATTTGTCCCGAGTTTGACGATAATTTCTCCTTGTACAAACCTAATTTAGAATTGCCTACGATGCGTAAACCAACAAATCAAAGTCAGGATAATTATGTATTATGTAAAGTTGCGTTGATCAAATGGATTGCTAGTTTTACGCATATCGCTAGAAAAGATGGTCTTTTCGCACATCTTTCGCACAGGTATTGCAAACGTTCAAAGTATACTATCACTTGTGCATCGTACCAGCGATGGTATGCCACCGTTGACGTAAATATGTTTCCCTCAGCACAACTCCGAACGAAGAAAATACGGATTCGGAACTTCGTCGCGTATCGGTTACACAGAATTCGTCCGATTCGAGTTTACTGTCGCCCGAATCGTCTATATCTCAACCAGAAAATCAAAATCAGGAAGATAACACCGTCTCGGCCGTTACGCTAGTCAGAGAAGTTCTGTACAGTAACAGAGATAACGTGAATTTCGTTCACGAACTGTACAGACAAGCATTTCTTCTGGACTTTAATCACGCTGGTGCTATAAGAAAGGCTATAGCCGTTTACAAAGATTGGATACAAATGAGTGTGAGTAATCGTGAATGAAATTTGTTATCTTTCCTGTGGAGCTTTCCTGTTATGAAAATGCACATTGTGTCTCTTTACTAGGAGCTTCCTCCGTTCATGTTAGAATCGTTGGATAGTCACAAAGAACGAGACTTGGACGAGACTTTTAAAAAGGATACGAACGATATCGATAAAAGTCCATCCGAATCTTACCGTCAAACGAGATTGAGGAACGATTCTTACCTCGGTGCTATACACAGGGAAAATTTGTTTATAAGAGCGGGTTTACAAAATGTTCTACAAGTATTCATTACGCAAGCTTCTAATGTATTCTTCTTAGAACATTCTGGACCAAATGCATCTCCGACGTTGCTCGAAGAACAAACGGATAGTTGCAAAAGAGTATTAAACGTGTATCGTTACGTCGTTATGCATTCTAGATTAGAACCAGGCACTTGGGAACAGTTGCTTAGGTAAATGTATTACGCGTTATTTCATACCATTGCGAACGAAGCATAGTATATCTTACATATCTCTTGATTATTGTCTGTTCATAAGGGTATTGCTACAAATAACATCGCTCGTTCTGAACGAGAAATCGTCTCGACGCAAAGCTCAGGAAAGCATCGGCGGCAAACTTGCACCTGCTATATTTCAGACTTTAATCGTCACGTGGATTAAAGCCAATCTGAATGTGATTATCTCTACCCAGTTATGGGATCAGTTTCTGGACGTGTTAACGTCTTTAACGCAATGGGAGGAGTTGATTCGAGAGTGGGCGGTAAGTTACACAGAGTAAAAAAATATTTATTCCATGCATATATGCCCATGTAGATTACAAATGTTGTTTCTCTCTTGTAGAAAACGCTGGATACCTTGACGAGGGTACTTGCCAGGCACGTGTACAACTTGGATTTAAACGATCTGCCATTGGATAGACTGAGCGAGCAAAAGACTAAAAGGCGTCGCGGCGTTGGAAGTCGTGCCGCTTCCACGGGGAGTGTCCAACCACCTCGCAAAGGAAGTGTCGATCAAGAAAATAACGCTGTGTCTAAAGAAAATGTCACTGGTAATAAATACTGAAACCACGCTCCATTTATTATTCACGATCTCGGGTTTGTACGTTATTTTCGGTAACACGAAATGTTTCTTTGCTTTAAATAGACCATCCGATGCGAGACTTGAGGAAAGTGCGACCACTTCCGCGCAGCATGAGCGACAACACTATATACAATGGAAAAGCGCGGACGAAGCTTCACAGAAATCGTACCCACACAGTGCACAGCGGCATTCCTGGTGAGTAATTCACCAGAAAGCCAGCGTGTACTTTTATTTTCTCTCGATTAAACTTTGGTGACCTATGTAATTCGGTAGTGCCATCTGTGTTGCTGACAGTGCGTTGCAATTTATTTATAACTTTGTCTCTTACTTTTTCGCTTTAATGCCGACACCCGGTTTAAAAATAACCAGTCTGGTGTCAGCCAGACACTTGTCTCCTCTCGTTCATTCTCTCTCTCTTTCCCTTTTGTACCCTTTTATTCGTAACATTCCCACCATCGTTTCTTCTTTTCTGCTTGCTCCTAATTTCAGCCAACGAAATCGTCCGATCAAAGTCATTTCGGTACAGACATATTTCTTTCAGTGGTTGTGGCTTATTTGTGTATTAAGTGTAAACAATTTCCACACGCGCAGTACTCCCCCTATCGATAGAGCAAGACATGGCGCGGTTGTTGTCGAGTGGTTCCACATCGTCGTCGGGAACTGGCAGAAAAATGTTACCGAACAGACGCGCTAAATCCTTGGATAGCATTGTCATAGTCGATAGCGAACCACCGTCGCCGCGATGCCCATCCCCGACGCCCAGCAGCGGGGTTGACAGCAACAAAGACAGTCCGATACAAATAGAAAACATTGACGGCAGTAGTATCGGTAAGTACACGATTTGCTGCTGTTTGTTAAAATTTTTATCATCAATTTTATTCGGTTTCATTTTTCTTTTAAAATAATTACATAACATCGTGTGAGCATATTTACGATTTCCAAAATAATTTCTATGTTTATTGTTATTTACGACGCACATCTCACAAGTGTAATACTAACAGTGAAATATTTATATTGGGAGAATAAAATTTATATTTTTACTCATACGCTTCGCTTATATTTCCGCAAATTAACGAGCCATTTACATTGCGCAACTTGATATAATTAGAAACGAAGGTTCCACGTACAATCGTGTTACATATCTTTATTTCTTTTGATGTAATTTTTTATATATTGTTTATTATCTTTATAATTGCATGATTACTTTACAGACACTAACGATGCATCGGAAAGGAGATCTGTTATGGCAGGTGGTGGTGTTCGCGGATGGTTACCAGATGTAGCGGTCGTATTATGGCGACGAATGTTGTCAGCCTTAGGGGATGTAAATAACATTCAAGATCCTTCCCTGCACGGTCAAGTCATGGACTACCTCGTTCAACTTACGCAAACGCTTATAAAAGTCAGAATCTGTTTTATATTTTACAAATTGTCGCAACGATCACACTGATTTCTATAATCGAACTTTAACATTGCTTTCTTGCTATGAAATAGATTCGTTTAAATCAAGGTGTATCTGGGGACAATCAAGCAACCCCTCCAGCTCCAGAACTTATACCTCCGTTAACGGTTATTGCTCCGTGGTGTTTTAAGGTTGTTATCTTATATTATTTATTCAATTCGAATTACCCTGATGCTCTGGAACTAGCCAACAATAAAAAATGTTATAATTATGCACTTCTAGGCGATACAACTTCCCGATCAATACCAAATTGGTAAATTAGCAGCGTACCGTTTGATCTGTCTTTTGACAGTTCAGCCTCAGGACATCAACTTACCGAAACAACACTTGACCCTCTTTTATCGCGCGGTTCACAACGGTATCGTTAGCAACGACAGCAAAGTACTGCATGTGCTGGTCAAATACACTGGACCCAGGTTATTCAGTTTGAATCTTCCCGGCTCTAGTCTACTGATCCTGGATTACATTCATGCTGCTAATGTAATATTAAGTAGTCAGGATATCGAGGTACAACACGTAAATTGCATAACGACTTCGTACCTAAAATCGTACGGTTATAAAACTAGAAACAACATGAAAATGTTGCTTGCAGGCACCGAGAACAGAGGCTGTCTCGATAATTGGGTCGCTGTTATCATTACCTGCTACTACAATTAAATTGCCTGTATTGCAACCTACCCCAACGGATATTCTCACCATGACGTGTCCAGACGCAAAGGTGTTTATTTCTTTGTTCGTTCATCATTTTAAAACTCAACCACGGATATATCTTACACGGAACGTTTTATTTTAGGAACATATAATCACGATCCTTTTAAGAAGCTGTAGGCGTGAACCAACTGGTATCGCAAGATGCGTGGCTCTTTCGAGCATCGCGATGTTTGTGTACCGAGAATTGTGCTACAAGAATCAACATCCGCGGATCCCAGAATCTGTTACAGTTCTTCTTTTGGCGCTCAGGGTAAGTTTTTCAAATCCGTTAGAGGCATACAAGCATAGATAGATGATTAAGATCGGCGTCAGCAGTTTCTTCGATGTAAAGGGCGTTTTGCATGTTACGGGTATTCGTTGTTTCGGATAAAAATGTGAAGAAAAAATTCGTCTTTTAACCGAAAGAAAAAATACCTCTTTAAGTAGCAAGCACTATGTAGCGTATCATTAAAATTTGTAGTTGCATTCCCGTAGAAAGGCGTATTTATCTAACAAAATGTTTAAACTAAGCGTAGTAGACGTGTCATAGTAGTAGTGCGAAATTCAGTATCTCTTCCACTGAGTCTGATCGACAGCGGGTGCAAGGAGCAGACCGTCGCAGAGCTGGTTTCTGTTTCCCGCTAATGGATCAGGTAGTTTATCTTGGATTAACCAACCTGTGTACATCCCTTTATTACGTGTTGTTACAGTATTTACCTGTCGACTGATGTCTACGTGTCTTTAAGGATGTCTACAACCTTGCATGGTTCTATTGCACGGTCGTCTGTGTAAAATGTCCAATGATATTTCAATGTCTGATTCCATTATACCTTACATACATACATATATACATACAATAGTGATTAACGTGTTTCCTATTTAGTACTAATTCGTACAGAACCGACGAAACCGTGATAGGTGAATGTATAATTCTAACATTTGATTCTTTGTTGCGTAGGCCAGTCATGCCACTGTCGCACAAGTCGCGTGTGACTCTCTTCTGTTGCTGTGCGATAAAGCGGACACCCTTTTAGAGCTATATCCGAATGTGCCATCTAAAATAATTCATGTGAGTTTCGCGTAAAAAAATTTGGCGAGAAATTGTGTTCACGTCTGTGTAAATTTCAGATTTTATCAGAAACGCTTGGATATATGAGTACACGAGACAGGCGAGGTCCATTGTCAATATCAATGTTATTTTGTTTGGGCGAATGGGCAATGCATCTAGGTCCGGATGTTTTATTGCGAGTATTTCAGGGAAAACCTTTGCTAATGACTTTGTTCACGGTCAGTAATATAACAGAGTGTCTCATGAAAAGTGCACTTTCCACTTTTTCTTACGAAAATAATTTCTATGTATACAGGTTTTGGATAATATAGTGCAGGATAGAGTCGCCAAAGGTTTATTACACTCGGGTAAAAATCACGGGGACGAAGACGATGATTTCGATCCCGATATCACGTTGGACAACTTGGCCGACGAAATTAGCGCCAAATCACCTCGTCGAGGCAATATTCAATCTGTCCAATTAGCAGCAAAAATGGTACTATATATAATGAATGCTAGAAAAAAATATAGATTGAAATTGAAATTTTCTACTAGGTCATGATGCATTTAATAAATCATTTGGGACATTTTCCAATGGGTATCGGAGCTGCGCGACTATCCTCGTTGGTCGTCGAATTGGACGATGTACCAGGAATCGACGGAGACGAATTGTCATCCGCCATCTTTCATGCGCCAAACATACAATTACTGATGTTGTCAAACTCTGTGATAATGTCGCTAGTCGAGCTGGCCGCGTTGGACGCACCTGGTGGTGGTGTCACTGCGGGATTAACAACGGCTCCGTCGTTGGTTAGAGTTCTGTTGCGAGATTTGGCGGGGAAAGCATCTTGGGATAGTTCGATTTTGTACAGCCAACCGTCGGCAGACGACGATGCACCGATAGCATTTACAAAACACGGTAATGGAAATGCTTATCGATACGTTAGTTTTGACGTGTATGAAAATTTCGGTTGTAACGTAGACAATTGTGTTTCAGTCGAATGGAAAACAAAAATACACGGCGACGATTTGAGCAGCGTTACGACATCTCAAACGTGTACGCCTCGGCACACGATACGACACCGCGAACCTCACATATTGCCTACGTTTGCGAACGGTGCGAGCGATATGGATAACTTGGACGATGTATGTCCGATGTCATAATAGAGCGTTAAAAGGAAATTCTTATTTAATCGTTCAATTTTTTATCGATTTAATATCCAATACTTTCAGCTCTTACAATATATAGGGCACACGAGTCCCGAAGTATTAACCAATCCAGAAATCGCACTGAACGCTCCTGCTAATCCACCACAGGGGCATTACCTCGAAAGCGAAACCATCGCGACCATTCTCAATCAAAGGAACGCGGAACAAGAGCATATCAATAATTGGAATCAGCATATTAGGTACATTGTCTGTGCTGGGGTAATGTAACCGTGTTAAATCTATCCGTGTGTTATCGTTTCAGCATGTGTGCATCAGCAATAAATCCTCCATCTTGTCGACCACCGCCAGCGCCATTTCATCACTGCCGTCTTCTGTTTTCGCATCTGGGTCTGTCGGGGTGGGAGCAACGTAGAAAATTACATTTACTGTCGAAGAATGAGAAGCTCTTGCGAGAGCTACGGAACCTGGACAGTCAGAGGTCCAGGGAAACGCATAAAATAGCAGTGATTTATGTTAGTCAGGGTCAGGAGGATAAGAACTCTATATTAAGCAACGTTACCGCTAGCAAAGAATACGAGAACTTTATCGCGAAATTGGCGTGGGAAGTCGAACTTGAATCGCACACAGGTTTCCTTGGTGGTCTCGTTCCTGGGAAAGCATCCGGCGTTACCGCGCCCTATTTTGCTACATCCTTCACCGAAATTCTTTTTCACGTGGCAACGAGAATGCCTTCCGATAGTCATGAAAGTTTATTGCAAAAAGTAAATTTTATTTCACATACATCATGATGAAGCAGTACATAGAGGTGGCGTGTGTCGATGAAACGAGATACCTTAATTATTTCAGACGCGACATCTTGGCAACGACGAGGTTCACATAGTTTGGTCCGAACACTGGAGAGACTATCGCAGGGATATTATACCGACCGAATTTTGTGATGTTTTAATAGTGATATATCCGTTACCCAACAAATTGTATAGAATTCAAATATCCCGAAAGTCGGAGATTCCATTTTTCGGGCCTCTGTTCGACGAATGTATCGTGGAAGATAAAGTTCTACCCGGATTAGTGAGAACAACCGCGCTGGCCGCGAGCAGGGCAAAACGGTCTACGCTTACGTTGTATCAACATTAGTAAGTGTTTCGTTATTTATGCCCATCAATCGCATTTAATAATCTCCTGATCTGAAATGTTTCAGTTACGAAGAGAGAGCGAGGTCCATCGATACTGTTATGAGAAACCATAAAGAAGCAACCACATTCGAGGAATTTACAGCAAACGTGTACTCTCCGGTACAACCACCGAGCCCATTCAGCGGGGCTTCTTCCGTGTCTGGTTAGTTTCTCTACATTATATTAGTAAGAAAACGAATTATAAAATCCATTACACATGTCCATAGGGAACTGTCACATAAAATAGCAACATAGCTAAGTGCAAATCCTGTTTATTTGCAGTTTAATTCAATGCACAGTTTTCATTCTTCATAGCAGTCACGAGATAGACTTCTTCTTAGAACGTTTCATAGAAGCTGAACAGCTTACAGCTGAACAGTGAACCTTTTTCAATAGTTTTTGCATGAGCCTAGACGTGAATCTTTATTATTATTATTATCAATATCACACTGTCAGGATCTACAACAAGCGTGCAATCCACAGCATCGTCAAACCTCGCAGCAGCGCTTATAGATTCTCATCAGGGTCGATCCGGTCTACGAAGTTCATCGGCGACGAGCAGCGATAACCGCGCGAATAGAGGTGACTAATTCAGTCCACTAACCCCCACCCACCTTGTAACACCACCCAACAAGGTAGTATTATAATTTATTTATTTTTTTTCTTTGCTGTTTTTACCAACGTTTTGTCTATACAAAGTGTTTCTCTTGTTTATTTCTATTTTTTCTTCCATAAACTACCCGGTAGCGGTTCTATATGTTACCAATAATGCAAAAGTTTTGTGCATTGTCTTCAAGTTTCGTCCAACAAACTCCAAACGATATTTCACACGAACGGATAAACATAACGCTATACTTCTATCCGTTTAAAAAAACGGTACAAATAAATTATAGCAATACACGCTTTTATTTTGAATTTATTGAATCTACACTAATGGTAACTTATAAACAAGACCAGAGACAAATGACAAATATAGTACAACTATTATTTGTTTGGTATTCACATATCTCTTAACTATATTTTTGTTTGACAGTCTTACACAATCTATTCAGAGGTAAAATTTCCTTTTTACGTGCATATTAGACATAGACTGGTACATATTTCCTTATATTCATGTCACATTACAGATGATACTTTGTTTAATGTTGCTTTATAGATCGAGAGTGCCAGTACTATGTGTATATAGTGTCTTAGGAAACTCTCATAAATTATAAACCCTTTCTTTTTCATTTATAGTTACGTTTTTTTTTTATTTTATTTTATTTTAAAACAGAAGTAAGTATTAAAAAGAGATAAAAAGTGAAGACTGGAACTAATGGATATAGAATGTACAAAAAGAGATTTATTTGCAACTTGAACAAATATTTCCGAGACTCTATATTTACATGGCACTGTATATTGCAAGTAGCTTTTCGCAAATTACATAGTTGTATGTTTCTATCTATAAGTACAGTCATTCATCTGTTCTACAATTTGAAAACTAAGTGTACAAATATTTCACATCAGTTGTTGTCACAAAAATTTTTGTATAAAATCACACAATTCAATTTTTTCTAGCTTGCTTGTTTTGTTTCATGAAATCATAATTTTAATAAAAAGATACAGAAAATAATTGCAGAGATTGTTTAATAGAAGATGTTTCCTTTCTTTATTTTTTCTTTTTATACAAAAGAATTACTTCAGCAAACTGCACGTTTTGTTTCGCTGTTACATATTTGCGTATGTCAAACAAAATCGTTGCGTTTTTGGCTATGTATGTAATTATTCCGTGTGCCTTGATTCGTGATTAGTATGTGGCGACAAGAACTGGAGCGAATTTTGACACTTTGTTTTCAGTTTCTGATGGAAGCAGAGTGTGGTTTAGCAACGACACGCCAGAGAGTACAGCACTTCATGGAATTTCACCTAGACCTGTAAAAAAGATGTCGTTCAAAACTGGACCGAAGCAAAGAGCAAGCACTCAACCCACACCACCCGACAGTCCAAGATATAAATAAGAAATTTTGTATCAATACGATAAAAAAAGAACATTTTTTGCACAAGAGGTTGTCTGGGTATATCCTGGAAGTTGTAATTTAAGAGAATTCTTTAAAATGCTAATTAACACAATGCGTTACGATAGTATACAACAGGTGACCCACTGTACTCTACATTGAAGGTAGTAGGTACGTTAGGATTAAAATGGCGGGTTCGGGTGACTTACCATTTTCGAAATTGTCTTTACAGTGGGCATCGAAATATCTGATTAGTCTTAGCGTTTTCTGTTTTCCGTCCTTAGGTTTAATTTTTATATTAAATGTACAGATCGTTGTTTATTTATTGCAACGTGAATATTAATTTATTGGAACATAAATATATGAGAAGATTTAATGGATCATAGGTATACAATAGTAACTATATTTGTTATATACATACACTTATCAGTGTCACATGACAGCTATTTTCATTGTACAGTACTTTCTTAAGATCAGTTTACCCTTGTACTTGAATAGGTAAGCTTAAATAATTATATCGATTAAAGCTTCTATCTTAATTTATATCAAAGATAACGAGCATCTCGATGTTACACACATGCCTTTGTAAAATGTTAACTTTTATTTCCTGTAATGTAATGGGGTGATAAGAACACATAATTATCGTGTAATCGCAAAACACACGACTGTGCGCGTGTTGATAAGAATCAAATATTATTTTTTAACGTCAAGGTTTTACAAGTCAACAGTGTCACATCTATTAGTACTGTAATAAGTTGTACTTCATGTTTCGCGTTCGGTCCGAATTTTTTTTTTTTTTTTTTAAACTGTCTACACGTTACATTCCATACGATTTATCTTTTCTACGCTTCACATTCATTCTATATCCTTTGAGTAAATTTTTTAACGTATCTCCGAAAAGATCGAAGCATTCCATTTAAGTTTTTTTTTTTATTCGATTTCAACGACTGGTACCACATGTTAGAATTTACGCGTTAACAGTGTCTTAGTTTGTGTACATTGTGTAGAGGAAGAGATCAATTAGGGAACAGTTCTGTTGTCATACCAAAGTTACAGGTACTTGGTGCTTTACGATACTCGAGATATAAGTATTTTAAATAATGTGTCAAAACGTGTTATTTCCGAAGGTTAATAAATCTAAAAAAAAAAAATAAATAAATAAAAAAAAGAGAGAAAAAGTGAGAGAGAGAAAGCGAAATTGGGAAGAGTTTTTGAAAGTAAACGAATAATTAAAAGTGTGTTGAGTAAGAGTAAACTGTTGCTTTGGAAAGATTCATGTTAACACAGTGATAGTAATCAAAGTATTAATATATTATTGGTCGCTGTCGATATGATCAGAGTTTAGGGTGAAATTATATTGTAGTGAATATCGATATGATGGTATTCGAGCTGGGATTGTAATAGACAACACGTTTCGAGTTTTTTTTACCATTTTAAAGATTGTCAGAAACCGCATTCAAAAGTGTAGGGTGTTAGCAACGAAGATGTAGATGAATAATTACCGATGTGCAGACCATGGCCAAAGCAGCATTATTTTTTCACTAATTTATAACGAAGTAGAATTGAGAAGAGCCGTGTATGTATTGTACATAAATTGTTAAGCTCGCGAACGGTATCGAGGTCATTAATGAAAATTATTCTCTGCGAAACATTGTATCGCTATATTATTGAAAAAACTATTGGTCTATATATGCGTATATTCGATATATACATATAAAGAAGAAGAAGAAGAAGAAGAAAAAGAACTTATTACAGTCTTACATAAGGATGCTTTCACGAATCGTATCTAAAAACTGTACTTAATTAACTATTTTCATTAGTACCGTTATAATAACTACTTGCTATTATTTATGTTATAAATATATAAATTGCTGTTAACATTATTAGCGTAGCGCTGATCTATTTTTCTTACTGGACATTACGCTTGCAATACATCAGAACGAAACACACGAAAATACCAAGGGAATCATGAACGAAATCTTCGGTAGATAATGTTGTTTCATTATATAAAAAATTTCTACCAATTTTGTTCTAATTTTTCTCGCGGACATTTAATTGTGTATGTACAAATGGTACGTGTTTACAATCCATTGCTTCTATATAAATGTTAAAAAGAGTTTATATATCTATGTATAACAATTGTTTTATACTTAGCGAGAGGGAAGCTCTACACGTCATCTGATTCTACTGTTTGCCAAATAGAATCGTGTCTGATTTTCTGTTCACGATGAATTTAACAAGTTGTAATCGTTTCGAATCTTTAGACCGATGGAAACGGTGTGGAATTAGAATTTCGTAGAATTGCAGGCGGCGGCGAGGTTAACGAGTAGCGTTTCAGAACTTTTTAAACGAAATTTCTGCTGTAAAATCTGTACTATGAAATTCGAACACCCGTGAAAACGTTTTCAGGATTTACAGTGTTCTAGAACAGAATAGGAATCGGATAGGAAAACGTATAATTCTGTATTAAAAACGCATTAGATAGTTTCCCATAGAGAGCGGTATTCGGAATTGATCTAAAACACGTTATTCTTCTGTAACGGAAATTGCCCAAAGGTTTCTCTAATATCGTATTAATTGTACACATTTCTGCAATGGAATGTACATTTTATTGCACAATAAAATTGTGATGAATCAACCTTGAAATTTCCCCGGGAAATTTATTTCCCCTGTTTATTCATTCTGTGCAAAATTATTAGCAAACAGATTAATAGTACGCGAATTAATTTTAGCGTGTGATTTGAATTTGAAGTTACGCTCTTGTTAGTTACGAATTCTTTGAGGCAGATAGCGGCGCTGCCGTGGCGCAACAGTCAGTTACACTGAAAATGGCCGCCGACAGGTGTCGAGATTATTTTGTAAAAATCTTAAACTAGTCTCGAGGCGTGCATTTTTTCAACGATCAAAAGTTTCTTACATTGCACTGTTCGGGGTCCGAATCTCGCGAGTAACCGTCGATACGCAAAAAATTGATCGAATATTTTTGTACCGTTTTTTTGGATGTAATCGCGAGTCGCTGCGACGCGAGGAAACGAAGCGCGGATAGTACAAAAAAAAAAGGAGCGTGTGTGGGGCTGTCAAAAGTGTTCTTATGTCGATTTATTCGCTACCATAGGTGTTGATGAATGTCTGGGAGTGACGCTTACGATTCGGCGGACGAATACACAAGCCTAATGGACGGTCACGTCGCGGAGTCTCGCACGGATGATCTGGGCTTAGTCACTGGTCGGAAAAGACGTTCGCGTATTAGTAACGAAGAGGTATGCTTGCATTATTTAAACCCTTTGTTCTGTTCACAATGTAGCGCATAGCATCCTTCGCTGAATTTTTATTGAATTACTAGAAATTTAATTACAGTAACGTAAACAATATTCAGGTAGAAAATGGTGTTCCCGATGTACATATTCAGGCACCAGGTATGTCAAATGCCGGGCTTGTTAGGAGGGGTACGCCTGGTAATAGCGGTCAGAGCAGATCTAGGAACTATAGAGACGAGGAGGAAGAAGAATTAAAATATGGAGCTGCACATGTCATTAAATTATTTGTGCCTGTATCTCTTTGTATGTTAGTTGTAGTCGCCACAATTAGTTCTATAAATTTCTACACTACCAAAGGATTATACTTGTGAGTTTTTTTAAATAGCGAACAATCGTGTATTCTTCTTAATGCAACAGGATTAAGAAGGATGTTTCTTTTAGAGTGTACACTCCGTTTCATGAAGACAGTCCGGACACAGGTACCAAAGCTTGGCAAGCGGTTGCCAATTCCTTGATACTAATGAGCGTCATTGTTGTTATGACCATGATACTTATTGTCTTATATAAATATAAATTTTACAAAGTGATCCATGGGTGGTTGATAATAAGTTCCTTACTGTTGTTATCCATATTCTCTGTTTTGTACTGCGAGTGAGTATAAGTACTTTACGGGGGACGGAATATAATTTTCTATGTTACTAAAAAATGAAAAATCTGTTGCAGACAAGTATTAAAAGCTTACAACATTCCAATGGATCTGTTCACGTTAGGTATAGTTTTATGGAACTTTGGAGTAGTTGGAATGATATGTATACACTGGCAGGGTCCATTGCAATTGCAACAAGCGTATCTTATTTTCATCTCTGCCCTGATGGCTCTTGTTTTTATCAAATATTTACCCGAATGGACAACATGGGTCGTATTAGGTGTTATCAGTATTTGGGGTACGATCAGTACAATGAAAAAAGTTATAAACACGTAAACGATAATAAAGGGACGGATACGAATTTGCGTCTTCGCTTTCAGATTTGATAGCTGTATTAACACCAAAGGGGCCTTTAAGGATACTCGTAGAGACAGCTCAAGAACGGAACGAATCCATTTTTCCTGCCTTGATTTATTCTTCCACCGTCATGTATACGGCTACAATGACTTACGCTGGTTACGTGCAAGCAGCAACGTTGACTACTAGCGATTCAGCTGCTGGTGACAGTGTAGCATATCCTATGCGCGGTCAAGTGGAGAATCAAAATAATTCTGCATCGGGAGATGCAGAGGAAGGCGGGTTTACACCCGAGTGGGTAGAATCGCACGGTAATTAACGAACTATTGAAAAGTAGAAGCATAAGAGATGTATTCGTTGTATTCTCGATTACAAATACTGATATACAATTTCGTTGTCAGGCGACAGAGGAGCAAGACGAGCGCAAGAGGTACGCGAGAACACATCGTCGGTAACAGAAACCTCAAGACAACAAGACGATCGAGTGGTACGAGGACCGCAAGTCGCAGTCACCGAGGAAGAACGAGGTGTCAAGTTGGGGCTTGGCGATTTTATATTTTACAGCGTTTTGGTTGGAAAAGCTTCCAGTTACGGCGATTGGAACACAACATTGGCTTGCTTCGTCGCCATTCTCATTGTAAGTATTCGTCGGTTGTACACCTTGTCCTCAAACGGTGAAGACTTTGAAAATTTTATCATCAACATTTTGTATTTTCAGGGACTTTGTTTGACTCTCTTGTTGTTGGCTATATTTAAGAAAGCGTTGCCAGCCCTACCGATATCCATTACTTTTGGTTTAACATTTTATTTCGCCACCAGAGTAATCGTCGCGCCGTTTGCAGATAGCTTAGCGAGCGAGCAAGTGTTCATTTAACTATAGGTATGACAAGCATAACATTATTTACTATAATTTATTACAAAAGGATAGTGCCTACTTATGCTCACTTATGATCGTCTATAGCTTTTATATTCCGTTTAAACACTCTCTTCGTACTCGTCGTTATTCAAACTTGTATTTTGGACACGTAATTGTCCTGTGACATGGTACAAATCAACATACTATACCGTGCGTTGTATGAACTGGATAATCTAGTATTTTTTAACAGAGTATTCATTGCATCGGATAGAAATCCAGTGTTACAGAAATGCTCAAGACAAAACTTAACATTTGTAAAATGGATAAGAGATATAATAAATAACGATTGTGTTTATCTGATATAGGTACGAAACGACTTTAGAAATCCTTGACAAATTTTCGTTTGAAATTTAGCCTTTAGCGGTTTTTTTAATTGAAAATTAATCGTTGTGTTTGTCTTGTTCGGTAGTGGAAAAAATTTACCTCAAAGTACTATAGGTGTTGGTTGGAAATAATCGAATTAATCGAGCTATGACAATTTATTGTATTTTCTTACATTTAAAGAACAAAGATCGCATAGATCAAGTATAAAAAAAGCAGTTGGTGATCGTTCTTTCGGAAACCGTATGAAAGATGAGGTACAATGTTCGTCTAAACAATTTGCTAAAATATACAGACCTCGCGGCTACGAGCTACTAAGTAAGACTAATCCATCCATCAGGATAATTCATCGGGGTTTGAAATCCGTTTATACACAGCCATGGAATAAGTATCGTTCAGCATAATCACAAGTTGAATATTTGCTTCAATGACGATGCTGCGTATTGCTACGTGTTTCGTTTGCTTTTTTTTTTTTTTAATATTAAACGACAGGAATCAGGTGTTTAATAGAAGTTCCGTTGATACTACCGATTATTTAGAATTGAAGGCAAAATTATCTGGTCGAATGGAAAAAGACGATTTTTCTTTCGTATATACATATAGAACCCTTGAGCTTGGAAAGCGTATACGCGATTTGCATGCTGTTAAGAAGGCGAAAATTACCCCTTCGATTCTCGTGAAGCAATTTTACAATGGTGGGTAAACATTTTTTTCGATAATAATCAATGATATTTGAGATTAGCGTCGATTAATAAGAATTTCTCGTCTCATTGCCAAAGCATTGCATAACGTCAACTTTTAACATTGCTGTTTGTTTGTTTGTTTGTGTTTGTGTGTATGTGTGTGTGTGTGTGTGTTTGTGGGTGTTTCTTTTTTACAATCTTCGCCGCAAAACGCAGTGTATGCATATACAATATATATATTATATATAATATCCCCGGAACCGGAAGAACTTCAACAGCGATATGATATCCTTTGCACTTTGTAAAATTATGATAATTCAATAAGTTTATTATAACTACGCGCTAGGAGGAAGTTCGATTTTCGATATAATCCAGTCGATTCTCTCCGCGACGACGGTGTGTAAAAGACGCTGTTCGACGAAAAAATAAACGCGATCATTTTATGAAATCTAATTATTATCACGAGCATAATCACGCCCGATATATATTGTATATTATATATATACGGTCACCGTGGTTGTGCGCACAACAAATTATATCGCAGTTCGTGCGTACTTTGTATAACAATACTGGTCTAGCTAAACATATTATCGACGACAGGTCGCGCAATGTTTTCAAACAAAGAAATCAACAATTCCGTGTCCGTGAAATATCGAAGCGAGAAAAAGGTACACTTCAAGAACGTGCGTTGCTCCTAAGAAAGGAGAAAAACATTAGGAAAATATCCGCAACCCGTAACAATTTAGTCTGGGGATCTATCTAATATCGAAAATACCTTCAAGACACGCTAGATCTTGCTTTTTTTTTTCCCTTAAATATCATTTTGCCGTGATACCTTTTTACTAACGCTACGAACAAACAGATAATTAAATATGCGATATACATCAGTCTTATAAACAATAAACTTTTGGAAACGTATTTTGGTAAATATACATAATTAATAATCATCGCGAAAGTGGTCACTACACTTTGCTAATATTTTTTCCCCCACTTTACGTTATCTTCGGTTCGGTTTCATAAAAAAATACAACGAATTATAAACATCTCCCCTATATATCCACCGCTCAGAGTCTCTTCGTTCTGTCTGTGGCTCGCGCGAACCAATTCTTTAGCTTGTACCATACTTGCTGCTCTCGAATGTTCCCCGTCTGAAGAACGAGCTGAATTCCAGCAGCGATTGCTTATCTATGTTGCTTAAATTGCCGTTGTACTTGTAGAGAGGCTCGCAGTGCGGCAACTCCGAGCAAACCTGTATCAATCGTCGCAAATATTCTTCTAATCGTTTCCTACGTTGCCGTGCCACGACCTCGTACCTTGGGAAAACTTGTCGAGGCGGAAAGCGTAACGCTGCTACCTACGTAAAAAAAAAAAGAAACATCTTTCCGTAAAAATCTTGGAACACGGACGAATCCTTACACACGGGTGTATTAGATAAAATAATTTACCTTGCTACCGTACTTCTGTCGCATCGAAATATACAATTCACGGAATCTTCTGTATCTACGCAGAAGCGTCCAACTATCATCCTGTGCCACGACGCGTACCTCGTATTCGTAATGGCTGGATGTCCCCGCGCCGCGTATTACGTAGGAGGGTATACTAACGATCATGTTGATCACATTGTCGCAATCGTTGTCGTTTGCTATCAAAGATGGCAGAGATCTCGTGATTGTCAAGGAGTACGGGCTGCTTAATCGATCGCCTCGGTTTTGGCTCTAAATTTAAAAATAAAACATATGGTTCGTACAGGATGGCTAGTTTTTCTCTCTGAAAAGATTAGGAGACAATTACCGTTAAATAAACCGTCGAGTATCCTCTACTGGAAGAGATTCTAGGAGCAACCGATTCCGATAGACTGTCATCCTCGGTATTAGGCCTGTTGTTCCTGAGGATCGGAGATCGCGTTGTAGATTCGGTGAGCAGCGTGGCTGTGCTGTTCATGGCCTCTAAATTACGGCACGTTTTAGACTCTAGGGTTTGTACACGGTCGTCGGTAGTCTCTGTTTGTAGCCTGTCGTCGCTACATCGAGACAATGACAGTTTATGACTCTTTCGTTCGTCCTCCAAAAGCGACACTTCCAATTCGATCTGTTGCTTTTGCAGGTCTTGCAGAATCGATATCTGCCGGTTCAGATCATCCTTGGAGGGAGTGTTAGCCTCCAGGCATCTCATTACCATCATCCGTTGACGAGAGATTCTTTGGTTCAGACGTTTCATCGCTGGATTCTGTTGCACCGGTGACTCCAGCGAGTCTTCGGGAACCTCCTCCTCCTCCTCCTCCTCCGTGATAGAATTCGTTGGCGATTTCGATGCGCTACCGTTGCATTTATCTGGTTCCGTGGCACTATCCGTCGATGATTTTCTATTTACATTCAACGAACTTCTGTCTTCTGTTTCAGGCAATCTATCCCTATCGTTCTCTGAACAAACATCTTCAGAAGCGTTTTGTTGCTTGTTTGGCATCTTCTGCTGCTCGTCGTTCGGGGAGATTTCAGACTCTTTCTTGTCTGGATCTTCGAACGGAATACGAGGCTCCGGCGAATCGGCTGCTGCTGTGTGGAAAGTGTCCGCGGTGTCGACGGAACTTGGAATATTTTGCGGCAGTATGCTCAAAGCGGTTGTTATTTGAAGTTTTCTATTGCAAGCATCCTGAAACGATTGCGTTTCCCCGTTCGACAAGATGTCGTCGCCGCTCAAGGAACGATCGTCTTGGGATGCGGGCAGAGCACGTTTCAGATTTAACGAAAGACTTTGTTTCCGTCGTAGGATCTCCTGGAGCTGCTCTTGGGTTCGTTTTGCAAGTATCACTTTCTTCTCCGTGTTTCCCTCTCCTTCCAGCTGACAACAGATTAAGTTGGCCAGTGAGTAACGTCGAATTTTTTAAGTAGATAAAAAAGAAACGTTTACAAAGACGTATGTCGATGATCGGTGGTTACACGAAGTTTACCTACTTCCAAGTTAAATATGTGTTTCTGCTTTTTGGCTATCTCCATCAACTCTTCCTCCATTTTATCCACTTTGCTTTGGTGTTCGTTTAGGGACTTGACCTTGTTTTGCAGCTCGGTTTCCAAGACAGCCAGTTCTTTTTTCTAGAAAAAAATATTCACTCTTTATTCTTCGTAAATTCTTCTTCCAAAAGTCGAAAGTGTTTGGAACTTTTAATTTTAATCTTTGATCGTACGATCCATAGTAGAGAGTAGAAAGTGGCAGAGATCTAAGATAGTTGTTGATTTTTCCTGAATTAAAATTAGCATAGGGAATTAGTATGGTCTCATGATTTACTCACATGATGATTAACAAGTTCTCGCATCGCGTCAACGCATTTATCATCGTTCAAACTCGACCAGGATTCTGGCAAGCTGCCGTCACTGCCAGCACCGTCGTCCGTCTGAAATGGTACATTTTCTCTTTAAAGCGAGGAACTGTCGACTGTTTTGTGTAGAATAATTTCACGTGATTGAAATAAAGATAAATAAACAAATAAATGGACACGATGCAGGTTCGCGTTGCGTGCGATTATTTATCGCAGTACGTGCTTCCCTATAGACTACAGGTGCCGCAAATATTGAATTTCCTTTCTCTAAATCTTACCTTCTCCCACCGTGGATGGAATCTTTGCGCGCGTTCGTGATTGTTCATGAACTCTTGGAATTGACGATGCTTGGACTGCAATGTTGTGCGCAGAGAGGCAACTTCCCTACATAAACTTTCTACCTGGTACCACACACACACATATCGATGCATTAACAAAAAAGGATAACTGAGAAAGTATAATTAAGATGCCGTTTTCATACTGTCGAGCGAACAGAACTAAAAAAAAAGAAACAAAACCATAAAAAATGATCGAACGTCACCGTGGACGAACCGTGAACTTTAAGGATCAATGTACGAATACATTGTCGATCGTGTGAAAGTAAAGATCAAATGGGATGTGAATAATTAATATAGTGTAAGCATGCTAGTTTTATGTATACGTTGGTTAATACAAGGGTCTACGTGACATTACGGATCGATTCGTACAAGATTTATTGGGAATTCGATCTACCAAATAATCGTCTGACAAAGTTGTGAATGGAAATTTGAGAGAGAAAAAAAAAATATGAAAACAGGGTATTAGAAAGTATTCATCGCGATACATTACCTTGAAAAGAGATTAGTTTCATTAATCCCCGCGGTTAGCGCTCGTGGCGCCAGTACACGTGCGTACGTGCCCCCATATTGTTAACAAGATACGTTGGGTTTGTTAATCGGGAGTGTTAATTCGATCATTCGTGTATTACTTATCGAGTACGTGAGATACAGAACAGAGAGTGTGCGTGCAACGTTTCGTGGAAGATCGAAGGCCAATTTTCGTAAGAAAAATTTATTAATCAACAAGTATCGGTATAACAACAGTTTCTTTCTTTTTCTTTTCTCGCATAACAAACCCATAGACAGTTCTACAAAAAAACAAGCCCAGATATGTACATAACTTTGTATCTCTCTCTCTCTCTCTCTCTCTCGCTCTCTCTTGTCACCTTAACATTGTCTACTTAAGGTACTTAATGGTAATAACATTCCACGGAATGCCATTTGTCCGGCAATATCTTGTCAACACTGGCACAGTTCGTTTCGGCGGCTTATTTACCTTTCTATCTAAATCGCTAGAAAGACAGGCATTAAATTCTAAGGGACTATTATATTGTCTCTGTGAATTAGACGCAGCGTTAAAAACCCGTAGTACCTGCATGTAGAAACGAAGAATACAAATTGAAATATATATAATATATACATATTACGGACAGTTGTCGTCCAGTTAACAATTTATACACATTACATATGTTACAGTTCAGGAGAGAAAACCCTGATAGACGCCGTGTTGGTTTTAAAAGCACCTTAAGTCTTTAGTAATTCTCTATTGTCTATATTATATTATATTCGTTGTCGTTCGTTCATCGTAAACGATGACGTCTCGTTTTCGAGCGTGGAACGTGTCCATTTAAGTACAGTTCTTGGTCGAACACTTGGCATAGGCGGGCTCGTGTTCGAATAGCACGTGGAACGCGAACGAATGAAGCTCCCCGACGATACCTTACACGGGGTCACATGTCTAACGGGCAAACGTGCGAGTAGATGATGATGTTGCCAGACAAGCAAATAAGGACACCGAGAGCAATAAGGACGAGGTAGAATTGATACTTGATTGAGATTACGTTTAAGTCCGGGGACGGCGCGTCCGTGTCACTTACTTGCGTCATTTCGTCCCGTCGTTCTTGCTCCAGGATGTTTCGCCGCGCGCGCAACTCGCGTTGCCGTGATTCGAGGGCAGCTATCGCGTCCGCCCACTCTTTCCACTGGGCGCCCCATTCCCGTTCCAATTCACGTTGCGCGCCTTTCAGGGCCTCTCTTCTAGCAGTCCATCTCTCTTCTCGTTCCTCCTGTTCCCTCTGCATGAAACACAATTTTTTTTCTTTCAAACATGCATAGCTATTTCTTTGAGAAACAATACATTCGTACACAAAGGATTAATTTAATCTCTGTATACCAATGATTTGAACAAATTTGATTTGTTTGTCCCTTATGAAGAAGTCTACAGGGTGGCGAGCAGAATCACCAGTTATTCTCTAAGAATATTAATAAATAATAAATTTTGCAATTCTACTAGTTTCGAGCCATCCTGTACACGACTTCCATGCAAAGTGAATAATATAATGCTGGATGATCGCCTGACGAACCTTGAAGTCCTCCTTTTCCTTGATAAGGGCAGCCTTCTGCTGTTCCAGTTCTTCGAGCGCGCGGAGGTCCTCGCTCGAATTTAAAAGGTTATCGCTAGAGGACGAGGCATGCAAATCCGAGACACTCCAACTCAAGAGGGACAATCTTGAAAGATTGACGACCGTCGATTGTAAGTTACCGTTACCCGTTCCACCTTCCTTTCTTAGCTTGGCCGCCTCCGCTGGATCGTTGTACCGGAACATATTGTTCCTGCCCAGAAGAATGATACAGCCTTGCGATAACCGTGTCGGTTTATCCACTTGGGCTGTGTTGATCCAGCAGTGATTAGAAAGGGGATGAAGGGTCGCTACGCCGCTATCTAATTCCACCACACAGTGTTCCGGCTCGACGTCCACGCCGGTCAATACGATATCCTGTGTCGTACAAATTACATTTCAGCACTACAACGCTCATCGGGCCTTCCATTACTAATTATTACTCGAAGCTGATCAACAAGATAAGTATACTATATTCTAGGGTATTCTTTACAGCTTCTCGTAGTAGATCTATCACCTGCGTGATTGGTGCTTCCTCCGTTCCCACTAACGTTCTACCCTCTTTCAGGTGGTAAAGCGTGACGCCAGTGCTGAGAAGATCATCGTCGATCCCTACCAAGTGTGGCATTTCCGAGTCCAAGACCACGCCAACACCGCTTTTTCGGAGGCCCAATGCCTTCTGTTCCTGAAGAATTTGCTGCGTTTCCCGCCACTTTTCCGTCCACTCTTCCGTCAACACTTTCTCCTGTTCCTGCTTCTCGTGAATTTGTGCCAACAACATCTGCGGTGGCCTCTCGACGCTCTGGAAAATGAGATAAGTATCGGATAAATATGCATCCTTCCACGCGATAATATTCTAAAGACAATGTTTCCAAAAATAGGTATCACGAACCCTAGGGTAGAGCACTCGACGAAAAATTAGGGTCTCTACTTGCCATATCTTTCCCGATAAGGGACTTTAGCTTCTGGATCTCTTCTCTGAGTTCCCTGATCAGCTTGACGTTCGGATCTTCGTTGATTGTCGGCTTGTTGATGATGTTCTTCGCTCGGTTGGCGTACCTAAGCGTGCTGAGGGTTTCACCATAGTTACAGTCCGCCGGGCTAATAGCGGCGATCATTATAGTCTTGGAGTTGCCACCGAGCGAGTCCTTCAGTAGCCATGTTAGCACACTGTTGCGATAAGGTATGAAGACGCTTCGCTTGGAGGAAGAAGACTCGTCGCCAGTAGAACTGACTTCCGCTAGCGCCGATATCACAGAACCTAGAGTCACCAATGACTTATTGATATGGGCACCTTCTTTCAGTCGTTGTCCAGTCGCTCCCGTAGCGTTAGCACGTTCGCTGCAAACACGAATACAGAGATAAATACATTTCTTTATACGTATATTTAATGTATATTTTGATTATTCTGTATTTGACCAACGACTGAAAGCAAGAATTACAAAATGGAAGTACCAAAAAAATCGCCAAGTGCTAAATGATTGTTAAACTTTTAAAACTATTGTTTGGCATTCGGCGACTTTGGTACTTGCACGCTACGATCGTCTTCCGATGCTTGTCTCGACTACCTTCCGGCCAAGTCGACAAGATGCACCTTGGAAACGGTCTCGGACGGCATGTTGCCCTCGGAGAGTCCGGCTTGCACGAACGTTATCGTGAAGATCGCGTGACTCCTGCTGCTCACGTCGTTCATGTTTGTGCTGGCGGTAGTTCTGTGCGTGTTGCCTCTCACCATACATTCCTACAACGAGCCGAACGTTTCAAGGGGGTGTGTTTAGTTTGGAGATAAAAGGAAATTGATTTCTTTCCTTTTCACGTTTTCTTCGAGTTTCAGTCACAATGAGAACTTGTTATTCTGAGGGGTTTATATGGTGAAATATGAAAACTAGCAATGATACAGGACTTGAAATTTGAACTCTATATGCAGGATGAAAATTTATGTCTTGTATAATTTTCATTTTATTTGATTCAAAAGATATATATCCTTATTGTTCCATAAGCCAGACTAGAATACTCCCTTCTAGCGTTCGCGTACCTGAATGTCTGAATAGTCGTACACGAGATGGCTGGACAGGTCTTGGACGTAAGGCCCCCGTTTAGGATGCTCCCGCACCCTGAGAGAATGAGACTGTGACTGATCCAGTCGCAGCAAGTCTCTCACTCTCTCATTGTGTATTTCCAGGAAGGATACCTCGGTTCTATACGACGCTCCGCTCTCTTTTCCCGCGGCCATTCTAGCGAAAAGCGTCTTGCAAATCCGCGGTATCAATCCTTGAGCCTCCTAAGATATCAAACAGCGTGGAGTCGCAAACGTTAGAACGTTAGTGGAGCCATTTCGTCGTACAACGTACAATTAACAGAAGTAAAAAAGTAACAGCTAGATGCTGGAAATAAATCTTAAAGAGATTCCACCCTCTTGAAAGGTTTCGTAGTTTTGTTCCTAGCGCGGTGTGAAAAGGAAACGCTATAAATCTTAATGTGCGCGTTCGAGCGTGCTAATATGCTAACGAAGCGCTAACGAAGTTCGTAGAATATTGCTCCGTTTGACACGAGAGATCGTGCTTCTTCAGTTTCAATTAATGTACTGCTATCTAGTGGAGGATACACGATTTTGTTTTGAAAACCAATTTTTTTTTACGGTGGAGAAATTAATGGTCTACAGATTATCTCTGGTAGGATAACAGAAGGAAATTAATTAAACGCGAGAGACTGTTATATCTGATTAAGTTGACAGGTTGATAGCGTACACATGAAGCGGAATTGCAACAGATCCATGCGCTGATAGGCAATAGATTGGCGGCAAATCTGTCATGGCGTTATAGTAGCCAGATATGCCGCCACGTTCTTGCCGCTGACGGTAAGATTTTAGCAACAGAACCATAATGAAATGCGAGGACAGATGGATCTGTCGCCAATCTGTCGCACCTGTGTCAACAAATTTCTAATTCCTGAAGAGGACCCGAAGTAACCAAAAATCTGATGATTAACCATGTACCAAGAACGAATGAACGTACAGACACTGCACGAAACAATTGAGAGATCAGGTTTCCGGCCAATTACAGAGAGCAACGTACGAATAATGAAAAAATACTGTGTACATGATACGATAACATTTTTACCGAACATATAATCAGCATAATATATTAAATGCTTTATGGCGCGATAAAGTTATCTAAATAGAAAGTTCTCCGATTGTTTTGAGCTGTTGTGAAATTGTAAAATTTTTACTACGCGTCAACGCCCCCCAACGACGTTTTATTTATTTTAAGAAAACGCATTGGTATTTCAAATGTAACTTATTTTGGAGGATCGATGGGGAAGGTGAAGTTTGAGAAACGCTGTCGTGAAATACCGAATCGCCGAAAGCTGAACTCAATAGGGGTGGCCTTCTAATTATTTTCAGCGGTATAATGCATAACGTTTCGCAATGACTCGGGGACGAATGAATTCCCGCGGAAAATGCGAGTACGATTGTAATATTACCGGCGTGCCCATCATCGTAAAGGTCTTCCCAGACCCTGTCTGACCGTAAGCAAAAACGCAGGCATTGTAGCCCTCGAAGGCACTTTCTATTACGTCCGTACCAAGATCGTAGAAAACCTGGAAACAAAGAAGAAAATGATTAATAAGTTTTTGTCTGGCGCAACGATACGAAGCGTTGCGGTCGGGACGTGAAAAACGTGTCTGTTATCGCGTTCACAGGCCGAGCACGACGCGCCATATATGTACTAACTGCGTCCATTGGCGGAGCAATTCTAATAAAGACACGCATGAAAGAATTTTAACCAGACGCCAGACGAATCGTAGCACCAGATAATTGCGATACTTATCGCACGCAGCATTGTTGTCGATGCCCCACGATTGACAAATGTGATTTATATATCTGTTGTCTCGTAGAATATTTCATTGTTTAAAAACATTTAACAATATTTTCTCAACAGTCGACTCATCGAACAGTCGAATTCATAAACGATTTTCCGAATAATGTAAAACGTATACATAATTTCAATCAGAATCTGTCCTTACGACAATGGTTACTATACCGGTACACGCACGCCGGTCTTCTATTTTAATTCTGATCGTGGCTCATCGTCAAAACGCTGCCGAATGCGATCGATTCATCTATCGTGGTAATATAATTTCGTTCGTAAGGAAAAGAATATTTGTTGACGAGTTTTCGATGATCCATTATCAAGTCTCGGCATCGAAGGAATTTCCGGTTAAGTCCGATATACTGCTCGAAGTAAATAAAAGATTACTCGTTCAAACGGGTTGACTAATATCTTTGGAAGTCACACCGTACTTGAACGAGGTAAATATTTCGTATAAGTACGCAAAATTTAACGAATTTATCGGGATTAATTTTGAAGGTTAGGTATCTTAAAAAGAACAATATAAACACCTCTTCCTGGGACGCATAGTTCTCGTCGTTCGGGTCGTAGGACCAGTAAGAGTGATCGAACGTGAAGTCTTTGTATTTCTCCCTGTCGATTTCTCTGCAACTCCCCGGTGTCTGGAAACAACACAGCAATTCCAATGTCTAGATATTTACAAAGTTGGCACATACGATAAGGGGCGTTCTGTTATTGTTATAAAGTAGAAGAATTTAATCTTATCTAAGCATAAGGTTGGTTCACCACCTAACCCAAATTTTAATTAGCTCGATAGAGGTTAGTAGTTGGCACGATGACGTGCGAAAAGAACACATCAATCGCAAGTGGCTGGCAAAACTGTAAGCCCGTTATGTCACGTGTATTCGTTAGGCTGCATCCCACATAATATAATCGCACACTATCGGGAGCCATTCAGCGTATTGCACAACAAAGCTAGCAGGCAATTAAAAAGTAAAACTACTTATGTTTACCCATCATGCAACCTACAATAAGCGCGAGAGCTAAGGTGAGGATCATTATCGTTGGAGAGTTGCGTTCAGCGTGTTCAATGCCGCAAGAAATTCGAGGTTCTCAATGGAACGTTTCAAAGTTCGAATCGTGGTAGAAAATTAAACGAAACCATTTATCGTGTACCATTCTTCGTCTTTGTTTTAATTTGGCTTATATCATCGCTTAGTTGGAAGCATGCGGTGATTGTTTTGAAGAACAGATTATTGTAAATAGTCAACAGTGACTCGCGAAGCTACGAAACGCGTTAATATCAAGTATGCTTCGTAACAGACGTTTACGGAAATTCACACATCGATAGATCCGACATGTCACGTTGCGTGCATTGGACTCCTGTAAACCTGTTTTACCACGCTGCCGATAAAACGGGAAGTCTTATGGTAATTACCGAGGATAAACATAGAAATTAGTCACGAGACGAGAAAAAGAGAGACTCGTAACATCAAACTTATATTATTATAGTCATTCGAATCGGTAAAAATTACGAATAAATTTTCCATCGATGTCACGTGACTAGTGACGCAAACAGCAATTCTGAAGACCACAGCTGCTAAAATTTATGGTAGAGTCCTTTCATAGAGAAGTTAAAAGTGGTGTGTTTAATTGTTAAGGAAAAATAACTAACAAAAGTTTTCAGGCAATATTTATTTCCAAGTTTTGATTTTGATGCAGTTTATCTAGAAATGAATTCTCATATTTAGCCGTGTAAAATGTGGATTAGTTGCGATAGGATTGGTCAGCGCTGCGCGTCGGAAAGCAACTCGTCCGGGATTGGTCCAGCAACGATTTTTGCACTTTCTCCGATCAGATGACGCGCAGCTCGCTATCTTGCCCGTGAGATCTCGGTCAAAGATCTCGCTTGACAAGCGTGGATATCAATGACGTAACGAGAAACAACAAATAATCTCGGCTGAAAAGAAGATACTGCATGTTCGCGAGGAACAATGTCGCGGTCGATATTACGTTAATGGGTCAATAGCCGTGGTCCGTGGGCCGTGGTTCGGGCAGAAATTATGACACGGTTTCGTGCACGGAGTGTTTCGAGCAGCGTGGCGGTCAACGGTAGTTCGGGACGAACAAAACAAAATCGTTCTGCCGCGTAGAAATCTTTTTAGAAAGTCCGTTCGTGATCATTAAGGACGAAGCTCGGGATTGGCAGGAATTTGCTCGATGCGGACAGTGCGCCAAGTATACGCGTTACAAAGGAAACGTTTAACCTTAATAAGCAACGTTTGCGCAACGTCGAAAGCGACGGACTTTTGAACAGGACGATACCTTGGTGTTGAAAATGCGTGTTTTCTTGCCATCCATTTGCACGATCATCTTCGCGTTCATCGCCAGCTCCCTGTAATACAAATCGACAGATTCACGCACGTAGCTCCAAGTCGGGCGCTTCGAATATTTGGTAACGGTTTGGTCGAGTCGCGAAAACATAGGGACGATGGGCTCGAAAGAAAAGGTGCACGGTAACGATATGTGGATACGGGGACCGAATGACAGCAGGTGGCAGAATCTCGTTGCACGGCCGTCGTGTCGCACCAGGGTCGATCGAAAGCGTATAATTGATCGCCCGACGTATTTCGAATCGCGTTCGACGGTACAACGGTCGCGAGCCAGTCGAATTTCCATCGAAAACATTTTTAAACACTGTCGTTCGAATTTTTTTTAATCGAACCTCGACCGATACGTTCGACCAACGGCTTAGGTGTCGTTAACACGACCGGGAAACGACCTCGCGAATCGATGGGATTATTCGAATCTCGAGCGTCGATAAAATGTCACGAATTAACACTGGTGTTGTATAGCACGCACCTTTTGTTAAAGGGACGAACCCTCACGGCTACCTTCACCGAAGCCATGGCTACAAAGAGCGCATGGACTGCTCAGGGTACGGTGCACCGTGTATCTGTTTCACTTTTCTCGATCCGTTTTCGGCTCGCGTTACGCGAAAACGTGGTTTCTCGCGACACTGCACGGACAGCACATCGTCGACGGGCTCTGCCGTGCTACGAAACGTCGTCGTCGTCGCACTTGGCGCACGACGCCCAACATCGTTCTTTACACGCTCTCGACAGACGGACGACTGCTGGCGGAGCTGCACTCTGCAGTCGGAGACAAAAAATTGCATGTTCGCGCATGCGCGTACGCGCGCGGATCCCTAATTTCAAGTGATCCGCACATTTGCTCGTTCTACATGACGGCGGGCAGAAAACACGACAGGGAAAAAGGAAAAAAACCGTGTGCAGGCGAGTAGAATAAGTCGGGGAAAGAGAGAACGGGATAGACGCGTCGGATAGAGCGGGTCGGTCGCGGAAACAACGAAATAAAGAAAGGGACGGTCGAACAGGTTTTGTATCCCCCTTCTACGGTATGTGACGTCACCCAACGGATCGGTTGGCGGTAAAGCAGCGGTGGAGAGTGAACGGAGAAGGCGAGCCACCCACGCAGCAAACCGACGGAGCTAAATCAAACGCTTTGCGGTTTCTCTAGCGCGTAACGGCGGTCGTACGGGGAATTCGTGTCGTTTTGTTATCCAGCTGGAGATTACGCATCAACGGTGGGCACGGATCCAGGACAAGAACCAGGATCGTGGCCACCTGCCCACCGTTATCGCAAATAGAAAATATATCATAGACGGCGCTAAACTCGTTGGCCGCGAGGTGACGTACCACGCAGGTCAACGGACCGTTCGAAACTTTTTGGCACAATTTCGTGAAAGGAGGAAGCGCTGCTTGTGTCCCTTCGTATTTATTCCGTGTGTTGATCAAACGCGATTTAGCTACCTGCCAGAAACGGGTCCGACAACTCTCTCGCGAGTCTGTGCGTAATTTGTCTCGTGCAGAACCGGCGCGGCGCGGCGCGGTCCGCGGCCAACGGCATAAACAAAGTCTGGCTCTCCTTCTTGGCTGTGTCTCTATCGCTGGCTGCGCTAAATTCGGCGCCTGTTGCTCTTCGAAACGAATTTGCGTGGGCGACCATTGATATACTTTTTGCTTAACGCGCGTAAACAAACCCGGCTCGGTCGGCGTTAGTGAAAGAACGGCAAACTAGCGTCTCACTAAAAATAAACTTTGTTCGTAGCTTTCGGTACGTGTGTGGAATGACCGGGAATAGGCGTTATAACCTAAATCGTACCGGGACAATCGACTTTGAAAATGCGTGGAGTTGCTCAGTCAACCATTCCTTGTTTCGAAATAGTTTTTCTCGGAATCGAGGGTCGGTGGAAAAAAAAACCTGTCGATTTATTGTTCCAGGAATATCTATTTTCAGTAATTATTTACCGCGTTAAAAAGTTTGCCGATTGCAATGACCTTGAAGTATGTTTGAAAACGAGGGGTCACCGAACTTTTGCTTTCCAGGGTATAATCATGAGAAATCTCTGTTACGTTACGAGGCCTGGTCTGAATTCAAGACAATAGCGATGGGTAAAGAATTTTACTTTCAAAGTAACTTCCAATTATACGCATCGAAAGATAGGAGAGTAATAATCATTTTTTACTTTGGAATAGTCGGTGACGTTACCTAATCACCTATATTTTATACATAAATTATTATACGTAATTATAAAACCGGCACTTGGTATATCGAGGAGCGCGGGCAATGTAAAATGAGAGCCTTGAAAAGCCAAGTTATATGATACGCTCTATACATACAAAATGATTCATAGACGATTGGACTCTGACGTAACTTCATGACTATACCACGGGACTGCTACTACAGAAAAACGTGCCAAACTGTTTCATTCTGTTTAGGGAGAGACTTCCCGTGGAACCAAATACGGTCGTGCGATCGTCACTTGCCATTCTTGCGGTTCCCGTATCATTGTCATTCAAACGCTCGGTAGCAACGAAAAATGAATAAATAAGTCGAGAAGGTTCATTTATACTATCGATGAGCCGTGCACGTGCCGAGCAAAACGACTGCACGTTATTCCTAATTATAATTATTCGTTAGCACATACATACATACAAAACCCAATGACCTCTCGATTCATTTATCGTCAACGAATTTTCAAAGTTCGTTCACTTCTCGACCGATATTCGTACTACATATTATTGAAGAAGAAGACATTAAAATGTAACTGTTATTCTGTACGTCGCGTCAGATATACGTAAAAAACATTTATCATGAATGTGGGGCAGAAAGCATTCCATAAGGCTTAGCTGTTATCGTCGTTGAACGACGATAACGTTCAATGACGATTTCTACGTTCTTTATAAATCACCGAAGAACACAATGCTGTCCATTAGTACCATTCAGAATGCACTGTATTCATTTGCATTTGTATAAATCGCAATTTTATTCCAGCCCACAAAAACGCACGAAGTTTTTGTATATTAATTTATGCTAATACTTAATGGGGCCGCGTTTGACATCGATTACTTATAGTAACTGACGTTCCATAAAATGTAGAAGTGTTTCTATAAGATATATGGGATTTTGTATTAAAAAATAACAGTTGTAGAACCGATGCGATATTAATAATTCCAAGATTTAACAGGTGCTGCCTCTTCGGTTCTCGCGAACTGATTGATTGGACGTGTGGTAAAGTCGGTAAAGCAGAGCGGCCGATAGGATCGTTAAAACAGAGCGAAGTAGGAAGTTGCCGGTTGTTAGTATGGTGGCGCGACCAGTCAGGGTTAGTTCATTTGAAAAGCGAAGCTGCAGTGGAGCATCAGTCGGGTGGCAACTGTCGTGCATGTGCGTTGTCCCTCGTGCCTCTTAGTCGCGTCTTAAATCGCACACAGTACGTTTATTGCATGTACACCCCGGTACATGAACAAACGGCAGACAGTTCGCGAACATGTGATTTTGACGGCGAGTACAGTTTGTTGACGCTCGTAACCGCGTGCGTGAAAGGTGAAGGTTTCCCTGGCCGGATATATCGTTACCCTACAGCAGCCTCGTTCGAGGGGGTGGAGAATAATGTTCTGAGCCGTGAGCCACGCACATCATGGTTGCTAAGCACTTCACGCAGGGTAAGTTTCTAACCGTTCTCGAAGCTGACGCTTTAACTTTCCACGTACCGGGTTGCCCGAGCTTTCCCGTATACGACGAATATTCGTAATACGCGTACAATTATTATTGCGTGCCCCAACGTGAAAAAAACAGGCAGCAAGAAACGTGCACGTAACGACTACGGTTGCACCCGGCGGTGTACGACGGGTGGTGCAACTCGACGTAATAATAATAATAATAATTGGAATAACAGTAGAACTAGCAGGGGCGAGAGTCGAGTCGCCCTATGGTTATTATCCTTGCGGTTCACGATGTATTCGGTGCGTGTGTCAGCGTACGAAATAATCATGTTCGATCGTTTCAGACATTTTCTACGAAACACCATAGAAAATTCGATCGATTTATTAGGGGTAAATACCAGTAGTTTCTCCGACGAATAAAAGCTACGATATGAAATTCGAGTACACAACTCGCAAGATACAGCGACTATGCGCAAGACTGAAAGGAAATTTATATTTTGATCACGTTTTTTTTAAGTAAACCTCGTCAGTCAGGGTGGAGTAGCATTGACCGATTGTTCCAGGGGATAAGCCAGAGCTTGCGTGAGGCCGATGTCAAGTTCGTGGTGGCTTTTAAACCGCTCGTTCGATGTCTCCCATCGATCGACAGTAGGTGTAATCTTGCTCTCGCGTGCCCTTTCGAGCACGCGTGGTTTTCTACACGAAGTCATGGGGACGGAGAAAAAAAAAATGGGTTGAATTCTTTGGCGTGTTGCGCGACGTAGCTTGCCATAGTTCTTTTTCTACCCGGTCGTAAACGTCCACTCTCCGGGCTACTTGAATGAAGTACACTTCGCATTGAACTTGGTATTTAATGTTGAATATACTTCACCATAAATGCATCGTCTATTCAGTTAACTTGAGAAGGGATAGTACATCAATGTATGACATTACAGAACATTTTTTTTTTCTCGAGATGTTTGTACAAAAAATTAAGCTAAACGTTAATTCCCCAATTTTCGTACCGTGTTAACCGATTTGTCCGCGTTCCATAGCCCCTTTAATTTGCATCGCGACATCTGGTGGCTCCTGGGCACGCGATAATCTTCGACATAATTACGGGCCACTGTTAACGCTAGTTAGCCATGCACGGTAGGTGTAAATGTCATTAGTAATATTTTAAAGCTCGATTAACGAGAGAGGGCGTTCTGCGACACACGATCATTCTTCCGCTCTGAATCCACCAACCCTTCCTTCCTCTATATATATATCCGCCGCAGTGCAGTGATACGTCCAGGGATTTCCATCTTCCATATCGTTTCTTTTCAATTCTTTTATCGTGCTGGTCGATAAAAAGCGAATGTTCATGTGCATACACTACCGGTCGTAAGTATCAGGGCAATATTTCCACTATTCCAACTTCGTGAAAAGAAGCCGTACAATCATTTTCCTGAGATCATTTTAAAGATTAAAGTGTTCGTCCATTTTCTTAATGCACGCTGTAGACAAAGAGACTGTAGGTCTCGACGGCGTGTTTGTTTTTATAAAAACGCGTAAAACGTTCCCCCCAAAAAAACCCTTTTTTTTGTGACACGCGATCCAGTTCTCTGTCCTGCAGGCAATACAATCTGACCGCTGGTACACAATCAGCATTCATAAGCAGTCTGATGTGTACATTGTACGTATATGTGTATACTAACGCAATCATGTTATCACGTCTCGTACGATAAAACCACTTACGGTACAAACGCACGATCTCGGTATACATACATATATTTCCGATCGGGGGTACAATGCGTCCAGTGACTCGAGTGCAAGGGAAATTAACACCATGTTAGTACATATGTTCTACAAGTTTAGAAAATTGTATATTTTTCTTGTCAATAATTTTATCGATGCAACTTTATTGTCTCGTTTAAAGAATTTCATAAATAGATATCTTTCACTCGCGACGAGAAGGTTATGAAGAGTGATATAAAAAGTCGCGCTCGTCGTTTTACTTTTTTCGTAATATGCCCTTGATCGAATTGAAATCAGATAAGGATATAATTCCTCGCGTCATCGTAATACTGGACACATTTCCGGGAATCCAACTCGACGCGTGCCTCGAGGCGATACCATACCACGCGATCGATCAAATATAAGGATGCTTTTCGCTGGATGAATGCGATATCGTCTCACGTATTTCTCGATCGTTTCTAATATCGACTCGTAAAACGTAGATCTCGGGTATCTAGAAATTTGTTTCGCGTTGTTTTTTTTACGTTGACCTAAATCGTCCCTCCGAAGAAACATTTCTTGAGCACACGCATGAATATCGTGGACATCTCGAGCGAGTGTGAGTCACTACAGAATCCTGGTAGGCAGGTTTCCCCGGAATTTCGTGACCGTCGAATGATTCACCGGATATAGACGTCAAAAACCGTATTTTACCGGTGAACGTAAAAATGTTACGTGACTCGGGATATCGTGATGGCTTTTTTTTAATAGTAGTATGTGGAATATAAGCTAGTGTGAAATCTGTACTCGAAGCTTCGTTTTTCTCCAACTTTATAATTATTGATATTGATATCTTAAAAATGTTAATAAATTTAGTTTTTCTTCTATCAAGTTACTCATTTTATCTTCGTCGATCTAACAAAAGGACGAAAGGCATGAACTTGCGGGATGACCTAATACATTCCTTTCCTGTCTCTTTCGAGACGCGACGCACTGCCCTCTCGAAGGACATTGTTGAAACACGACCTATCTGTCAATATACTTTCGAACGTTTGACTGACGTTGATTGCAAGACAATTCAACGGACATTCTTCGTTTTCACGAATATATTGTTGTCGGAGTATGTAATAGAAAATCGTGTTAATCATTATCGAAAGTAAACAGTAGGTTATATATTGTTTTAAACAAGGTACAAGCAAAAGATTCAAATACAATTTATTACGTACAAATTTGTACAAACAGATATTACATAATTCGCAAAATTGTACGGTTCGTTTTACACAGTATTCGTGGGGTCGTGTCTCAACTGCAACTCACTAAATAGTTTAATAAACGTCTATTGGGTAGGATAGATCAGTGCTGTCAGTAGACATACGCACTCTACAACGAATTGTTACAATACTGCACGACGACATTAAACATTTCTGCATCCTTCATTATTCAGGTTCTTCCTAACAGTTTCTAACTTTTATACAGAGTGTTCTGCCATCCCTGGGAAAAATTTTAATGGGAGATTCTAGAGGCCAAAATAAAACCGAAAATCAACAATATCATTTTCTTGACTGAGGCTTCGTTAAAAAGTTATTAAAAAATTAAATTAAGAAATTTCAAATTATTCTGAAAAAATTATTTTTGATTGCAGGGGTCAGCTACAATCATTTTTGGTGAACAGACATACCCCCGAAATCCTACGTATTTTCGAGAAAAAAATTCTCTAGAATCTCCCATTACAATTTTTCCCAGGGGTGGCCAAACACCCTGTATATCAGACAATGGTCTCAACTTTCATACCGTTTGGGTACAGGTCTAGAGAAGTTCGCTCGCGTGTCGTTTCTAACGGTTCTACGCGTACGTTTTTCGGGCAGGTTACCGCGTCGGTGTTCTGCGTATGATAATGCACCGAGTTAATTATTTCCTCCCGTTGTTACGTGTCATCGACCTCCCTGAGAACTCTTTGGGGCTGCCACTGTCGTTGGTTAGCGGATCGTTGCACGAAAGCCGCGACCTCGATCGGCGGCGTGAATTCTCTGTCGAAGGTGGCGCAACGCGAAAGAAAAGCCGGTAAAGAAGAATAAGAAAAAGACAGAAGGGGGTAGAGAATTAAGCGAGCTGCGCCTAGCGAACGTAAATACGCGGCGGAGGAAGTAGAAATTACCGAACGAGTTCGACAGTTTCTGTAATTGAATATGAAAGGGTAGACTTGTTTCGCGAGAGCTCGTTAAAACTACTTTATACCTTTGGTAATAACATTGTACGGGCCTCTCCGACGAGAACACTTTTGTTCGCCGAGATATTATTACCGTTCCCTTTCGTGTTTTTACGTACACATTGTTAACAGGATCGCAAAATGGCCGCCAATACGAATTCGTCGAAAGAATTTCTATTGTTCGCTCGCTATATTTTTAACGACTAACCTCTGTTTTGCGCAGTAGGCCTGACACATTTTATTTAAATAATCAGATCATTTACGTAGGTCTCTGCGTGTACATGTTTATATAGAAATTTTTTTCTTCTCATTTCTGGTTGTAGAATATATTGAATATATTGCGTGAAATTAATGGTCGCGTGGTAGTGGATTCTTGTTTAAATACATTCTTGTTTCAATACTCTGGCCAGGACCTTCGTCGACTCGGGAAACGGATGGAGATTCGAGGCCGGAGATAAGGAAACGCGAATTGTAAAGAACGACAGAGAAAATAGGAAGCTCGAGGAGGACAGATGGGCACGTTTCATGGAAGAGGCGAGACACAAACATCGCGTTACTCGGGCTATGGAAATTTAATACAAGTCGCCCGTAATGATTCTCGAGTTCGCACGAGGGTCGTGTCGCGCGCTCGTTTCTTGTGATCGCGGCTTAATCTCGGAAACCGAGTGAATGTAGCGGATTACGGGTACGTGTTCGCGAGAAAACGATATTTTCAAACTCGAAACACGTACTCTCGTAACCTGTGCAGATTTGCGCCACGCTTCTTCGTTTAATTCTCTTCTAGCCTGCGACAGAATGCTCTTACACGCGTGAAATCTTTCGGTCGTTTTTTTAATCTTGATCCCGATTGTTACGCTGGTCGCAGATGGTATTAAAGTGCCGAAAAAAATTTTGATTCAATCTCCTTATCGCGTCAGCTTCAATCATCGCGACGAACCACGTGCTCGTGGAACGCAGGTGCACCATCAGCACCTGCGAACACACTGCACCTGCACGTCAGCTGCCGTGGTTCCTATTTCTCCAAGGTCATGTGTCACGTGACTCCGTGCAGCCCCGCCTCGTCGACTATCGCGAAATTTAATATCTGGATCACATACCTAAAGCCGCGTCCCCACTGGGTCGGCTTTTGCCGTTCGGCACGGCCGATCGGCAAAAGCCGAGAATTGCGTCTACACTGCGTCCGCATCTGTCATCTAGCACGGCCGATCGGCACCCTAAGTACTTCTCGGCAAAGCCAAACACTGCATCGTCTTGGATAGCATGGCTTGAAAAGCCGACCGGCATGCCGACGAGTCGATCGGCACGATGTCGGTAACCATCAAAAGAGATCGTGCCAAGACACGAGAGCACGAAAGTTTCATGTCAATTTCGTTCCAAAACCATCATCGAGATACAAAGATACAGGAACTTTAAACGTTAATAACTTTTTAACAAAGCCTCCATCAACAAATTGGTATTCTTTCGCGATCGAACGGAAAATTTCACAGCGCGACGATTGCTACCTCCAGTTCTGAAAGGCCCAGGCAGGGCCATAAAGCCCCGTCTTGTAACCAAATATGGTCATAGGCGAAAGATTTTTTCCTCGTGCCCATATTTTTGCATAGTCGATGTTTCCGGAGCCCGTTTCTTCCTCCGATACGCGATTTTGGGGGTGTCAACCGAATTTGGTATTAACTTTTAGCTCGACCGATTGGTCATCGACTAAGGGAAGGAGGACCCATTTTCACACCCCGTTTGGGAGGAAAACTCTTTCCTCATACCTGAACGTGGTGGAGGAAGACTTCCAGGTCACCCCCAGAACGAGGGTGCCCGAGGTTTTCTCCCCAAGTCGAAGGCTACGTTAATTTATCGAAGAAAAAACGGGACTCCGGATTAGGACGCGACGAGTGGCCGCGCGTGTTTGACAGCTGTTTTATGGCTATACACAACGATTTGCAATTTTTTTTCTCCGTTGAAAAATTTAGACACCTAATTGGATTTTCAGTAAGGAATTTTTTTCTCGAAAGTGCGTACGATTTTGGAGGTATGTGTAATGATAAAAAATGATTGTAATTGATCCCCGCAACCGAAAATAATTTTTTTAGAACGATTTGAAAAATTTTTTTTCGCCGAAAAATTTCAGCACCTACTCGATTTTTTTTCTCGAAAGTAGATAGGATTTCGGAGGTATGTGTACTCACCAAAAATGATTGTAGTTGACCCCCGCAACCGAAAATAATTTTTCCAGAACGATTTGAAATTTTTGAATTTAATTGTTAATAACTTTTTAACAAAGCTTCCATCAACAAATTAGTATTCTTGATTTTCGTCTTATTTTGGCCTCTACTATCGCTCATTAAAATTTTTGCTAGAGGTGGCCGAACACCCTGTATATTCTTCTGCTACGTAAACTCGGACGCATCCAAAATCTTCGTTTTTTAGGCATTTTTTTTGCATTTGCTATTACTATAACTGCAGCAGCACCAGTTATTACTTCGTCGTCACTGTACATTTTTTGTGTACTGAAATGGCTTTGCCGCGGTGCATAGCAGTGGCACGGCCGTGCCGCCTTTTGCCGAACGCTGTGCCGATCGGCAAATGCCGAGCCGTGCCGACCCAGTGGGGACGCAGCTATCGGCAAATGCCGAGCCGTGCCGATCCAGTGGGGACGCAGCTTAAGATCTTACAATAATTCCTGCGCGATATAACTCTATTTACACGATACAGTAGTGCCCACATAAGTGACCAGAGTTATCCCCACCAATTCTTGGAAGCCAAAGCGGCTTCGAACATCGAGCGTGTCGAGTGTAACTTGACGCCGATCGTTATCGATACATTGTATACAGGGTGTTCGGGTGCCAGCTATTGTATATCTATATCTCACTCGCGCTTATACTCTTCCGTTATCTCCGTTGAATTCTGAGAACCAACCATGCCCACATAAATGACCAAAGCCAAGTAAAAATGCAATATAGACAGTAATTTTGTAACGGAATAAGAAAACAGTCACCCGTAACCGTAATAAATAGAGACGCCGGTTGACGGTAAGAATGCAATTCCGGTGGTATGCATCGCGTTCGTCGAAAGTGGTGGGAATACATCACGGTGTGACTTTAAATTCGACGCGCGATCCCACCTTCTCTGATGTTTGTCTTTTTTCGCCTTTCTTCTCCCCTTCGCGCAAAAAACCGCAACGGGACGAGAAAAAAAAAAAAGTCGCGAACGTCGGCGATACAAAGGCGTGTGCTTAATGAACTGGCAGAAAAAGGCAAACCGCAGGAAGCGTTACATCAGAGCGCACGGCGTGTTTGGGGTAGGTGCGACCCGTGTGTAACAAGTCCCACACTTTGCGTCAACAAATTGTAGTAGCTGCAATCTTAAAACTTTTCGTCGACGATTTCCATTAAATCTCCCATTTTTTACAGCGATTTACCCTCGCTGTAAATATTAATTTAAGTTGCTTCGAAGTACAGTTGTGTGCTCGTTAACCGGATACTGTTATTGATATACGATAGGACTGTTATTCCAACGTTTTCTTACCGGATAATAATAGAATGCTGTATTATTTTAACGATTTAATATTTGTATCCTCTGTTACTCTTCTATCGTAACATTGCTCCTGTGGTCTTCGCGACGATCGATAGTTGATCAAGATGGACAATTTTTTGCCACGTTCGGATAGCTTGCGTCGTTCGAAGGAAAAGAAGGGAGAGGCTCGAATCATCGTCCCTGATGCAATATTTTAGCGCCGCGTTCCCTCCCTCGGCTTCCTATTAACGCCTCGATTGTGCTCGAAATTGACCACTCGAAGTGACAAGGAATCGCCACGTACAGTATTGTCTGCGCGAACAACAGGTGGCCAGAGAATTTACCAGGTTTCCATATCGCATTCCTGCCAACCGAACGCGATCAATCCTCCGACTGTAGACGGTCTGATAAAGAATTTTGGGCGGGCTTACTTTTCTACGGTTAGAAAAGAGAATAAAAACGTTACCATTTTCCACTTGCTTAAAGTGGAAAAATAGGTTAAGTAATCTTCATTCTGAATTTTTCATACCATTAACCATTCCTTGTGCACTCTGTTGAAGGCTCGAGCCCCGAGTTCGGTGTTCCGGACATGACGGTGATCAGCGACATCGACGAGACTGGAATCAATCGGAATCTCCAAGTCCGATACGGCAGGGACCAGATATACGTATCCTTTGATTATACAAAATGTGTACAAAATTAAAGTACCTCGTATAAGTAATCGGTAAGAGTCCTGACAATTCACATTGTATCGACATTGTTTAATAAGGTCGAATATAGAACACGAATATAGAACAGATACATTTCTGTTTTATATGTAGAGTGAAAGGTTCCCTTCGACTTCCGTGTAAGAACATCGCGAGAGATTTCATTTGTTTTGTTTAACGAATTTTCGTGAGCCCGTCCGCTAAACAAAACAGTCATCGAGTCGAGTAGGATCTCAAAGTTGTTAAGCGTGTAACTTGTGGACTAACGAGCACGCTCGAGTATATGTGAACCCGTCTTGTTCCGCGCGTGTAAGAGTTTCGCAAAAAGTGGCGAACGGACTTCCGTCCGTTTCGTCATTCGTCGTTATTATGCCCCGGAGTTAAGAATTCGTTCTTGGGAATTACTTGCTCGAGCTTACACTCCTCGATTTTAGACTTACAACGAACCACGAGAAAGTTTGAAGCTCGAATCGTATTTGAGGTTAGGAATATTGACCCTACTGTCTTCATCCTTTCAAATCCTTTATTCGAATAAAATATGCCAAGAAATCTGTACAACAATCATTATTATTTAGAACAGTTTCTCTGTAAATTTCGCCCAGCTCTGATTAGAATACAGTGGGGGGGCTTAGAAATCATTTTCGAAACCCTTCTGCGCCATCCGGTTGCTTAAAAAGTGCCGAAGAAGAGAGTTGAATGCACGTCGCCTAACTACGTTCGAAAAGAGAGCGAAACAGAGGAGAGAATTAAAAGTAGAGAATCCGAGTGTAATGGAGTAGGAAAGAGGAAGTAGGTGGAAGCAGTTGAGCAAGATAGGGCGAGACCAACAGAAAGAGAAAAAGGGCAGAAAGGGGTGAAAAGGAACTATACGTATGAATTTTGTAGGGGTGGGGCGTTGCTCCCGGGTTGGTTCGTTCGTTGCCATGACGACAACCCCAGTCAGCTGGTGAACCACCCCAGGGCCAGACCCATTCATCTACACAGGTTTGCCGACCCAACGACCGACACCGACGACCCACTGTCGGTTCTTGTCGAGCTTTAATCCCCCCCTGGCCCCCTTGCGGCGCGTCTGATCCACAGATTCGCAGATAGCGCCTCCAAGACGATCAAATGATCATCCACGAGCCTTCTCTCTTACTACGTAATAATCCGAGGAGATATTGGTCCGCCTCGGGGCTGAAATATCGGCTAAACTCGCGTCAACGACTTCGTGCCGCTTCTTTTGTCGAAATTCTGCCCGTTAATTGGATTGGTTTCTTAATTAAATTATCCGAGAATAAACCGGAAAATAGTCGCCGGTCAATTCATAGTTCACACTCGGACGGCGAAGAGAATTATTGAGAAACGTCTTCTCTAAGAATTCACTCGTCAGCTAGGTTAGGTTTTGTTCGAAACAATGTCTGAAAGAACTGTGTTGAAGTTACGAATAAATCTGTAGAAATTTTGGTACCGACAGTAGGTTATTCTTAACCTATTACGCACGAAGGTTTTTTTTTTTGAAGGTTAGGTTAGGAAAGTTTTTAGATGTGGAGCATTGTATAGAAGTAGATCGGTGGAATCGGTTCTACTAGCCTAGTTTTCCATTAAGAATTACCAGAGTATAGAAAGGTGGCTATAACTTGAGAACAAGGTCATATAGGGCAGACGTGTATGTGAACTTGTTTAATTGGTTTATGCCCTCGATCGACCGCTGAACTAGGTCTAGCATATTGGGATACACCTTTTATATTTTATTCAAAAGTACTAAATTATGTAAAATAGTCGGCTAGTGACCGTTTGATAAGTGCATAAATATTCTGTTCGAAAATGTCTCGCGACGTCGAACGGACGGAAAGTAAATTGCTCGGTCGCTCAGTTTGTCGGAATTTCATCGCGATTCGGAACTGGACGGGGAAACACGTGCGATTAATTCTCGAGTAGGAACAAGCTCATCCTCGAACATCGTGGATGACGCTCGCTAATGAGTTGAGCCAGCCTCCGCCTATAATCGGGAATGAAGTTTTTGCCTCTCCTCTGTTCGGTCTCTTGGTCCAAACACCGGAATTCAAACGCGTGATGCGTTTGCCTTGGCGATTTAGGTCGTCGTCGGTGCGCTCGTTAGTGGACACTTCCTCGTGCGCCACCGACCTCCGTCGTTGTGTGTGGGACGACGCATAAAGTCGCCCACAAGGAACATCGTGGCAAATGGACCACGTTCCAACATCCCGTCGTCTCTTTTTCGATACACGATCGCCACCTTTGCTGTACCAATTTCGTTATCTTCCTGATTCGATTCTGCATATTATTTATTCCCTAGACAAATTATTAAGAATCTATTCGTAAGATTGTGAGGTTAGATATTTGATTTTCATGGTGGTGAACGTGTTAATTAAATCTATTATCCGGTCGATATGGTAGAGTAAACAGTGTCTATGGTTGAGCACGTTCAGTCGATATGAAATTGACGCGATTGCACATGGCAGCGTGACGAAGCTTCTATGTTCAAATTTAAATGTAATTGGAATGTTTGAACTCTACCGGAAACATTATCACCGATCGATTACAGTAAACGCATGAAATCGTGTATTCAATCGTCCCTAAAGCAGAATAAAACGTATTCCACGGTCGATTTACAAATTTCAAACGATATCGAACGCATTAACCTCTGTTTCGTGCAGCGAGTATCAGGTCTTTTCAAATAGGTTAACTTCTTCGTTGCACGAACGTGGCAGTGATACGTGTAAACATTTATTTGGTTACGCCACTGAATCTGTACGCGCGAATACCGTCGGGAATTTTACTTTCCCGATTTCGACGGAAATAACAGTGCCCCAACAGTATTAACGGCGGAATCGTGTGTTAACAATCGGGCCAATAAAACTGCACGCTGCACCCCGCCTAAAGGGGCTCGGGTCGATAGATCGTTGGTTGATTAAATAGCTGCACCAGTGAGGAGTTGTTCGCCTTTGCGAACGCTTCCGATCGTGAGATAGCTGGTTCCCCGAGTTGGAAGCATCGACGACCGTGAACAAAGTATACCGTCGGGTAAATTAATATTCCCCGTTGTCTTTAACCGGCGAGCATTTTATTCGTGCTAATGTATATTGGCCTGCGCTGGTAATGGACGAGATTGGAGGTTATGGGGCGAAATAATATCGATTTTTCGCGTCGCGGTCGAGCGAGCTCGGAGCATCGGCACGTGTTGCTATCGCTCGAACCACGGAGAAACATGGTTTCTTGCTCGATGACGTAATCCGAGAGATCTTGTGTTTACGTAAAAAACGTTTCTGCTCGCCCTCCGTGGGGCACTGTCGTCGAACCTCTTTTTTTATTCCCCTTGGCTCGCTGAGATTTTTAACGACTTTCACGCGTGATCCCGGGTATACCCGTTGAAATATTTCTGGCTCGAGCGTGCGATTATTGTCCGTTGAAAACGACCCGATTACGTTTTAATTTTACACGCGCGTACACAACCCAACGGTTGACATTTATCGCGCACTTGGAAAGAAAAAGGAGTATGGTCGTATTTGATTGTTTGGTATTCGTTCGAGTTTCTTTTGATAAAAAAACGAGACGAGGCTTTTTGTCCAAGCCAATATATTTAAATTTCTGGTCGAAGTCGGCTGGAGTCGCGCGGCAATGGACGCTTTGTTCTCGTCGCGACTGGCTGCGAACGTGAGGGAATTTGGAAGTATTATAGCCTGCGATATAGGACTCATAGAGGAAAAGGGAAATTATTATTCAAGCATGTTGGCTACCGTGTGTTTGATAACAAATTAAAAAATGGATAACAAAAGAAAGCTACGGTGGGGATGATCAGAGATTGGTAAAACTGGAATAATACCAACGTATAGTATTTTTATTTTTTTGTCTAGGGAGAAAGGAAGAAATAGCGAATCGTATTGAGCCATGCATGTTACCAGTTGAGGGTTAAAGAACGATTTAACGAAAATGTTATATCTTCGTTAATATTTCGAATTTCATCGTTTGAATGAGATTTTCTTGAAGGGTTTTAGAAAAATGCAATCGGAAAGCGAGCTTTTCCCCCTCAGACGTGAAGAAGACGTACTTTCGCGGGTGCAATAAAGCATCAGTGTCGGCTTGTCGTCGTCGGGTGTCTTATTTGTATGCTATAGGCGTTCCCACCGTGTCGATAGGCATCGATGGAAGTCTTAGAACACCGCGGATGGGCATCCTCTTTGCTCGTCTCGGAACTTTCAATTTTCCTAACGAAATTAACCGCGACACAAAACCGTTGGGTGGCGAAACTGCGCCAATTTCCATTAATTAGTCTCGTCCGTCGTACCTGAACGAGATTCGATCGCCCGGCACGAACGTTTCCGTAATATAGACGAAGAGATTCGTTTAAATGGAATTTATTATATTCAATCGATCGTTAGTCGATCGAGGGCCCCAATAAGCGGAGATAATTGAGACGATGAAAATAATTCGCTTGCCAGGAGAGTGCTGTTCGAGCCTCGCTTCCAACTTTTCAACGTGATTTTATACCGCTTGTCTCATGTAAATTATCCGGCGTCCTTTGTACGAGAGAACTCGCAATACATCCCATAATTAATAATTTTTTTTATTCTCGAACCAAAAAGGTTACCATTTTGCGAATTTCTGCTAAAGATGTTCAGCTTGGTCCGAATTTCATTCGGTGCGAAGGAAAGCAAGAGTAAGCAACTTTGGGCGTTTTCAGCGTGTACGTTTCGCCGCCCACCCATTATCCAACGGTACTCGAGCTACTCAACGCTCTTTTTGTAAAGGCTCGGTTCTCTTTCGGGATATCGGATTAACCCTGTCCCCAGCGACGTCGACGAAACCGGAAGCTCTGGATCCCCCCCCCCGCGCCCTGCAACCCTGGTTACCCGATCGAGCGTCTTCTTTCTCGCCTTTTACACTACCAGCAACGTTATCTCGTTTACCCGTCGCTTTCATCGATGTGTACTCGTTTGGAAAGAATATACACGTACACATCGATTACTATCCGTGGAGCGAAAGTTTTTCTTTATTTTTACTTCTCTACCGGTTTCAATTTTTTTAAATTCCTATCCCGTTCGATCTCGTTCGCGAAAAAGCGTAAACTTTTCGACGCCATTTCTAATTTCTGTTTCCAAATCTCATCGACAGAGTGCCACGGTGGAAATCGAACCGAGCGTATCATGTTTCATGCACGAGGCTCTCTGGACGGTGTCTATTCGCGATTGTCCTGTTCTATTGTTCGTTTTTCTCCCTCCCACTGTTGTGTTCCGGTATTCGGTCGCTCGCGCGACGGATACTTGGACGCGGAGAGGGTAGCTCGCTCTCATTAACCTCTCGCTAGCAAAGCGCTCTTAGCCGGTTTCAATTGCTTTCGTCGAGGACGAGGCTCGGCCACCTTTTAGCGGCGTTTCGCGCGGAGTGGGGGCGGTCCGGAGACCAGAGCCCAGAGGGCCGGATATGCGGCTGCTTTCGAGAACCCTTTCCTGTGTTTACAGAACCCGTCGACGCGGGGCGAATTAGGCCAACGAAAAGGAAGACGAAGTCGATCGCGACTTTCTCTCGATCGGGAGTTTCGGGTGGAAATTTTATCGAGTACGTGTCACGAGTACGAAAGTCGATCTGCTAGGTTATGTAACGAGGCAAATATCTCGATACAAGAAACGTTAGAACTACGAATTAAAATTTGAGATTATAAATACGTTACGGTTGTTATTAATAACCCATGGAGACTGATTTAAAGGTGCAAAAGGGGTTGAATGCATCTCGACGTTACGCGGGAGAATTCTTTTTGCGGTCAGTTTCCTTTTGGGTCATCCGGGGGAACGCGGGGTTGGATTTTATTGAAAATTTCATGCTCTGTTTGCGCCGTGTCGTTTGATACCTCGAGATTTACCCTTTTCTGGGTCAACTACCCTCTTTGTGACATGTGTTGACCTCCGAACGGTTGCTGACCGTCATTAAACTGTACGACGCGGACACAGTTTACCGATACAATATTGTCGTAGCCTAGAAATGTCTACATTTAGTAATAATTAGAAATCCCTGCGATCAGAGACCTGGTCATCTTCGCCTCGGGCGGCCATATTGTTGCCAAGTGCGTAAAACAAACGAAACGAACGAAGATGGCGCCATAGTCGCCGTATTCCCGCTACTTTCTCTGTTGTTAGATCGTAGTTTCGAGTAATTAGTGAAAATTTCACGAATACGATAAACCCTGAACAATTTCCCTGTCGATATTCAGAAAAGTAAAACGAAAATTCGCCGGCATTAGTTCGGAAAGCTTTCGTACATTTGGTAAAACTAAACTGTTCTCGATCAAAGACAAAGGTCGCGGAACAGCCATTTTCCCTCGGGTGTTCCGTTGCAAAGAGTTCCGTTGCAGCGATTCCGAGCTCTGTGACACAGTCATAGCGTTAAATTTTGACGAAAATATCCCTTTCATCCTAACATTTATCCGCGAACTTACTCTGTGCTCCAGGCCGTGGCGAAAAAACGGTCAGAGTGGCGAAATTGCGAAAATTGCCCGAGTTACCCTTTCGTCTCGCGTCGACGCTTGTCCTTTGAACGAAATTCCACGAGCACCTCGGACGTACGGAAACGTTTTCCTCGAACCGGTCACACGACAAAAGTGTGGAAAGATTAATATCGCGAACGACAATGCCGCGGTAGGAAATACGGTCGACCGTAAGGAGTTTTTCTCGCGGACTGCAAATGGACGCCTATTTCCTCTCGCGGGGGCGAAAGAAAGACGCGCGGAAACGTGGATCGTTGGACTTAAAAGGGGCTATTCGAAGGGCGATTGATATTTGCTTTTTTGAACAAAAATTAAACTGACAAAAGAAGTCCAAATTGAGAAAATTGAATTGAAATTTGAATGGTCCAAAAATGGATATTATGGAAACGTGTTTATGAATTTTTTTACACGAATATCGTACGATGGAAATGAACCTTTTATATCTCTCAAATTATAAAAAAAATGACAGGTGTTGTCGCTCACCTGTATCCCACAAATTAACCCTTCGCGGATCGATAGTAGTTTATAGAGGCTCTCTAACCCCTTGAGACGTTTCAGACCCTTTCAGCGTCGTGATTAAATTCCGCGGTCGTGTCGGTGTCCTTTTCAGTCCCATCACCCTGTAGAAAGTGTAATGACAATACGTTTGCACTGTCGTTCTTCATCTTTCTTGTACGATCGATGAACCTGCTTGTCCGAGGGTAATTCGAGTCCTGCGAATGACAGGTAGAAGGCTACCTTTACGGTCGCAATAAAAGAGAAATTATTTGCTGGCCAACAGAAAAGGTCGCAGACTAAAATAGACGTAACGCGCGCGACGCGAAGGAGACTGCAAAAGGTTGGATGAAAAGGTCCCCTCAGCCCCCCCAGGATGTTCGGTCGAAGAAAGAAACGACGATGGTCTTTTATCAGAGGCTCTCGCTAACCTTCGTTGCCTTATTACGCCCGAAGAATTTGCTTTATGTGCGACCAGACCTCTCGTCTCTGTTTCAATTTACTTGTGAATTTTTTAAACATTTCTTTTTGACAGCCTTTAACCTTTGGAAGATCTCGCGTGCCGTTTTACGTCCCTTAAAATCGACTGTAAAATCAAAGAGAGACACCAAGCGGAAACAAAAGTTTACAAAGCTATCGAATAAATATTCCAAAGTAAAGAAGAAATTTTCTAAACGATTTCAAATGAACCTTCCCGACGGAAGCCAGCTCGAAACCGCGAAAGAACGCCATGCAAATTGTTGCAAAGCGTGAACCATTTCCCCCTCCCAGCGAACCGATAGCGTCCCTTTTTTACCCTGCTGTTCGAAATGTTGCAGAAGGGTATAGTTATAGGTGCGTTATTCCCTTTCTCGCTGCCGGCATTCAGCCTCGTGAGTCATCCCCTCGGGTTCACCCCCTGGTCTGACGTCATTTCGGCAACCCCCACCCCGAAACAGCATCGAAACCATGTCATCGTTCGGTTATTATGGAAGGGAGAGCCTCGAGACTCGCAATCTTCTCCCGGGGATTCTTCGACGATGCCTGCTGGACTATAATCGTCGAATTCAGCACCGGGAACGATCTCCCGCGATAATAACGATCCGAGAAATAGAGAAAGAAAAGGGGGAAAAATAAGTTTTGGAGAACACTTGTCGGTAGATCGCTGCGGATCGTTAAAAACGTCTCGTACTTTCGTCGTTTCGTTTAGCTGAGACGAGTTCAAATGACGGAATAACGAATAAATATTTATCGTCGACCAATGTTATCGCAGTAATTATTGTAAATACCTTTGTTAATTTGATCGACGATAACCTACAGTAAAGTTTTCACTTCGCACTCGCGAGTGATTGATTGATTTATTACAGCTCTGTCTGTCTACCTGTCTGTCTGTCTGCTGTCTGTCTGACTGCATGTGTGCTTCATAGTGAAAGCGTTGACGGGATTGGTGCTTACGGTATATTTACCGTACATTGTCTATGATAATTTATCTTGTGATGTTTCCATCCTATGTTATTTTTGGGGGGAATATTTTGCCACAAATTATTCCATCCATTGATAATGTCACGTTTATTTAAGAAATATCGTCACGCGTGTGCCCTTTCGCGTCGTCGGATCGTGTGACGTCACGCGTATGCAGAACAGCCCCATCGGGAATGCGCGTTGCATTATCATTCAAGGTGGTTCCAGAGGAACGAGAAATAATGCCGTTGGTACGGTTCTTTTCAGCGACAGTAAACACACCTTCCGTTCCCTCACCCTCCCCATTTGTATGTCTTGCTTTTGCCCTAATTAATAGGCGAACGACTTCGTTGCACACCATTTTCCTTAACTCAGAATTTCGATGCAGACCTACACGGGGTCCATACTGGTGGCTGTGAACCCCTACAAAGAAGTGGACTTCTACACGAACGTGAGTGAACGGATCATTACTTTAATAGAACTGCTTAAGGCGATTGAATGCTAGGAAAACTAGGAAATATTTTGTTTTATTATAAAATTTTGAAGCTTGTGATTTTAGTATCGGAATGCACATTGAAAACGTCCTGCAATTTCTAACGGAATTTAGATAATGGACTCGTATCTCCACCAGTCCCTGAAACGCGCCACACTTGCGCACTTCCTGCGGTAAACGCAAGCCGGAAGTACCGTCGAAGAATAGTAAATATTAAGCATCGACTCGAGGAACACAGAAGGCCGCACGTGCTGATCCCCTCCTCGAGATAAACAATAATTGGACCCCTCTTTGCACGTACAATTAAAAACTTCGCCACGAGTATTGCCGCGAAGGGGGGCTTCCGTGATTAAACGGTGACTGAAAAAGTCCTGGCGCGAAATCGATTCGATTTTTAATATCGTTGTTTTTAATTTGTTTGTTTACGTTCGAGTTTACGGTAAAAAATCATTAACTTGTAGGTTTCTCGTTTCTCAAAATTTGGACGCCCAAAGAATAATATACTGAGTACGCTTTTATTTAACCGGTTTCCCAGAACGACGAAACGTACGACAGGACGCATTTATCGTATTGGAATTGCTAGGCCTCGGCCCGAACACAGGAAACGGAAACCACGACGTGCTTTCGCGAAGATATCGCGAAACGGCGATCAACTCTCGAAGGGTTTTCTGGGTCACGGTACTTCGTTACGACGAGTTGACAGGACGGTTGATTCCTTTCGCTCCGCCATCTATTTTTTTCTCCCTTTCAAACGTTCGATGCACCTTTGTCAGGCGCGTTACTAACCTCCAACGTGTAAGACTTTCTTTTTCAAATCATATTAAAGTATTTTCTATTTAAAGTATTCGAAGAAACAGCAATGGAGAATAAGATCGTTGCGAGTTTTGTCCAGCGTCGAAACGACGTGCGTTTTTATGTTTTTTCTTGTCCTTGAAAACAACCAAGCCAGACACAGGAACGTCGATCTTGTCTGTCTTCGTTGTTCTCGATTGCAAGACAAGGAAGAACATAGAAATTCATGTCCATTTCGACGCTCGTGCGACCCCTAACCTAAACGGTCCAACGCGTCAAAGCGAGAAGAGAACATTGACCGTCTTCTTCTTCAAAGTATCGTATTACAGTCAAAGTCTCGAGCGAATTTTCTGAGAAAAACATTCACTGTCTCTTTCTCCGACGTATTGTATTACAATCGACGTTGCCAAAGCCTTGAGCGAATTTCGTTGTGTTCTCCTGCGCGTTTGATTTGACGGGCTCGTCGCAGCACCTGCAAATGCAGCTGTTTTCAAGGGAACGGGAACGACGGACTTCTGAAAAAACAATACCGTGTGTTGGAAAATAAGATATCTCTCGACCACTCGTTCAAACTGTAAAGGCAGGCTGATGTGGACTGGCTCGGTGATGGATACCACTGTATCCTGTGTTTCTATTTTCGATTGCACGCGCGAGACCGTATCTGCCGATCGGGAACACTTAAAAACCATCGCGTTAACTCGCGCATACGTCGGGGTGCCGTGGATTAGGGTGCAGCCATCGCGAGGGACTTATTTCGGGATCGAGTGGCAGCCACTTGGAACGTAAATATACGGGTCGCCGACAGCCTGGCAGTAAAACGATCCTCCAGGTCCGTGTACGTGGACCCCTTTGGTCTCCTCGAGAGCAACGTGCAAGCGGTAAGAAACAAAAAGGGGTGAACGGGACCGCGTCGTCGGATTAAATCGAATTAAAGAATGGGAAAAAGAACGCGTCGCGATAGAATTCGTTCCACGGAGTGAGGGGAGTCAGAGTCTCAACCCTTTGCGTCCAGACAAAGTCTCGTTCTGCTTTATCCATCTGACGGGGCACGATTGAAAGTAACCATTTGACTCTCGGACAAAATTAGCCGTTTAAGCATGTTCGAAGGGTGGTTACACGCGTTACCATTTGCCCTTCACAGACGTCGAGGTCTTTTTAATTTCATATTCGTATCAGAGTTACCGAAAACATCCATAAAATGGCGTCTACTCTTAGTTCTACTTAACCTCTAAATGGTACAGCGTCTACGTTAATATGTTTCTACAGACTCCTGCAGAGGTTTTAAATTTGATTCGACGTTGTATTTGTTTGATGGGTCAGCCATTATCACCTGGTGCTTTCTGAATATTGGTTCGATAGTTCCGAATAGGATTAGAAATCGCTTTGACGCGATTCCCCCGTGTCCTTTGATGTAATCGTGTTCCTTTGACTTTGTACACTCGCACCGTGTACTTCTTTAACCGCCAAACGAGCCTGGTATTTATGAAAAAGTTGAAAAGGACCCTTAACGTCGGTAATATTCGTAATGGTTCCGAATATTCGGCCGATAGTTCCGCCAAGTGTTCCGCGAAGTATTCGCCTAATGGCCCCAAGCTAGGACCGTTTGAATACTTTCATTGGAAAACTTCCGCGCGAGATATTCGAAATGAATAATTTAGAATTTTTCCTGAATTATTTTTACACCGGTACAATACACCTTCCCGTATCTGGGAGTCTCGTTTATAATTCGTGCTGTTAAATACACTTTAACAGAGTCTAGTTTAAAGTAATATTCAATACAAATTTGTAACTTCTTTCGCGTGAAATATCGCGCGAAGAACTCGGCTCAGGGCGTTGGCGCGTCTTGCGACGGAGGATCGAAGTTAATCTTATTCATAGGTGACTTCCGGTGGAGCGCGATAGCAGGTCGAAAGGAGGAAGTGAGATAAAAGGAGTAAAAATATTTAAAAAAAATTGTAACATCATCGAGTGGAACGATCGGTGATTTCGAAGGTCAGCAGGGGTACCAAAACGAGGACCCCTGGCTGGCAAGAAGGAAAAGGGTGGCTCAGCGTGGTGCACGCCCCGTGTTATTGATCGGGCTGGAGCGCACATCGGATTCGGAGACTCGTCGTGGTTGCCCTGGAGCCTTCGGAGCTTCGTCCTTTTCTCTTGTCGTCCAACGATGTTCGGGTACACCTGGACTTTCCATAACTATTCCAGTGCCTGGAACAATCATAAACAGCTATTTCAACTGTTTCTAGAGCCACCGTGTTCTATTAGGTGATTCTAGAAACTGGGACAGACTGTAGCTCTCTACTAACAGTCCGAACCTATCGACTGTCTGGACTTCCATAACTATTCCTGCACCTAGAAAAATCAGAAACGATTGTTCGAACCGTTTCTTGAGCCACCATGTTTTATCAGATGATTCTAGAAACTAAATTGGTTTTATTGGTTATCCATCACTAATGAAATAGTGGCGAACATGGTGGTCACCGGTGACCGTCACTTTAAACTTGTTACCGTATCGTTTACAATGGAAGAACCCTGATTGTAAATAACTCTACTTTGAATTAAACCTAGTCAAAGGTTTATCTTTGTAAAAATATTTTTGAAAATTTAGATAGCTTGAAAGGTGTTCTCTGGCGTAAAAGGAGGGATCTCTATGAAAGTAGAAAATAATTTCAACGCCGCTCGTACGTTTCGAGCGTGTATCGTTAGCCTTGACCAGTTTTTCGAATCTTCAAAAGCAACCCGGAGACACTCGGGCATTCTCTTTGAAGCGCGTCGCCCTGTACGATAGTTTCACTTTGATCCCCGGGTAGAGCAGAGTAGTATTATAAACTTACGACGGCCGTGACACGGTGAAGCGCGAACGCACAACCAATCTCGCGCGATGCGTTCGCCATTGCGACAAAGGTTCTACTAGAATTATGAATAATACTGGTAGAGCAAAGTGCCAATTACAGGCATAGTTAGGTAATTGGTACATACTTCCCATTTCAACTTTATTCAAACGTGATTTTGAGACTCCCAAATTTATTAAAAAAAATATATTCACGCGATAAATAATATTCCCTGTTACTCGAGGGAACTTTGCAGTTTAAATTCGTCGCGTAATAGCGCTATGTAGATTTACAGTTCCATGAACAGAGTTCGTACAACGCGTGTTCCTCGAAGGTTCGTGATGTTCCACCGTCACGGTACGAATTTTCACCTAATTGCGTCGCAACGGTACACGAACGTCCTGTAACAATTACGTAACTGTCTGAGTCTATCTGTTAGGGTGTCCCAGAAAATATTGCACGCTTTAATTACCTTTCTATTTAATTTTAAAACCGTCTAGTGAACCGTTTAACGAAACAAGTTTCAAATTTTCGTTGGTCCCGGGAATAAAATTTGTTGAAACCGTAATCCAGGTGGTGATCGTTACCTCAGCTCCGAGAGTTCGGAAACATAGTTACCAGTCTCGTCCCGATCGCAGCATGTAAGGATAATTTCGTGGTAATCGAATATCGGTTCCCCGCGTGAAGGGTGTCGCTCACTGATTAATCGTCGACGATGGATCTGGCGCGATTCTAGGACCATCGTAATTTCCGGTGATGGCTGCGAAATAGGAGAAACGCCCGGAATCATGGATAACGACAGACAACAGGCACACACCGGGGACAACTTCGCCGTTCCACTTTGATGATTTGTAATTCAACGTCGGGAGGCATTGACGTGTACAGTGTCACCCGGATAACTGGACAGAACCTTGTGTCTGGCGCTTCAGTTATCCGGGGAAGGCAGAGACTCCTACGTCGAACCGTTTTAAACATCTCCCCAGACGACATTCGTTCGATAACGAGTTCTTTCGGCTAAACCGGTATGGTGGTCACCGGTGACCGACGCTTCGAACCTACAACGAGTTCTTAACCCCTCAATAATTCGCCAAAAATGATTTTTCTTTGTGAAGAAAATGGATCGAAGTATATTTTAGCATTGTTTTTTTATTAAGCAATTTAAATGTTAGAGAATGTATTTTCTCCGTATTCCGTGGAACGTGCTAGTCATTAAAGGCTGCGTAAAAACAGCATCGTGTTCCGGTCAAAGGAAAAAGCTGTCGTTTATCGGGCGTGTCTACGTTGAAGAGGAGGAACTGGAGCGTCTCGATATCCTCCAGTCAGTATGCGTCGCGAACCGATGAGTCGGGAACATTTTTATCGCGGCGTTGTTCATTCCGTATCGTACGTCTTTGCGTGCTGTTTTTACTCTCCGCCCAGCGGGTGTACCCGTCGACGATCGATCCGAGTGTTTCGAGGCAATCATCCGCGCGAGCTTCGTCACAGACGATCATCCAGGTAACTGGACCAGCTGCGTTCGTCGTCAGCGATCTGCTGGTCCGACCTGATACCGCGCCATTTTCTTTTCAAGGCTTTACGCGATCCACTTCGCGCGTTTCTATCGCTAGATTTACCCGATCTCTCGATTCGGTCTCCATACTCGAAGTTACAGAAATTATAAATATTACTTTTCAATCTAAAAAAAAAAAAGTATTCGTCAGTCTGACGAATTCAAGTGGAAATACGTAATTAAAATTGCACTCGTACCTTGGGCTACGTGTATACTAACTTCCGCCATTGAAATCGAGTAATCATCGAACGAACTGTGCATCGCGGCAGCTATAGCCAAAGGTATTCATCCTATTGCAACCAGCAAAGTGGTACATTTTCGAATGAAAGGGAAAAATGAACAGCGAACCTGTGCCATTTGCGTCACGACGACTTCAATGAGGCATACACTGTATTCGCATTATGCAGATTATGACTGGTAAAATCGACGCGGAGTATTTTATTCTATAATTGAAATTTCGAATCGTCCATATTTCTTGCAATAAGTCGAGAGGGGTACAAGAGTTTACGATCGCGATCGTCGATCGAAGTTCATCGTCGCCCTTAATCAACGGCACACGACCCAGTAGAGGAACGAACCGTGAAAAATTATCCCGTTTTCCACCCTTGTGCGGCGCAACCTCGTTTCAGCACCGTTTCTGTTCACCTTTGCGCATTCGTCGGCCAACGACACCGAAAAAGAGGGGTCGTAAGCACGACCCCAGTCGGTGTCCCGACGAGTCGTGGCCTCTAGTCGACGAACTGTACGCTGATTTCGCAGTCACAGCTGTAGAAATAAACGGGGGCACGCGGGTTACGTTATTCTCGAATCAAAACATTCGTAAAGCCCTCCGCGCCGCTATAAAACGGCTCTCTCTCGCGCCGCCATTTTTCCTCTTCGCCGTGAACAGCGGTATAACCTAAAAAAAATTTAAGAAAACACGCGCTGGACTAATAGCAGATTCTGATTGTGATTCAGTTGCTTTCGATGCTTCAAATACATTTCTTTTGACGATAACTTCTAATATAGTATTTCGGGGCACCCGGTACATTACCGACGAAAGGGTACACCGACAATTTCTGTTACATTATTCGACAGAACCGAGATTGATATTTTTACGTATATTTTTACGATGCCACGTCCGGACAGTTTTCGTTCCACTTTTATTCCACTCGCGGGATCGAAGGATGTTCATGTAACGTCGAAACCTGACGGATGACGCTCGTATTTCACGGATTTAATTTTCAACGCCAGCTGCGCTTTCCAAACGGCCGATTTCGCAATAAACGTTAGATAGCGTCGCGAGAGCTGTTCAAACATCGCTTCTGTAACGTATGGCGTTAAAAACCGATGTCCCTAAAAAGCAAAACAATCACCGAAGAAGAGGGTCAACTCTATCCGTTGACGTGTATATACCGGATGTGTTCCTCGAACCGACTAGATAAGATACCTTCCGGATGGCGGGGATTTCCCTACGACGACCACCTGGAATTCGTTTCATTGCTCTATTTTTACCAGCGTCGTTTATTTTCTCAAGAATTTCAGACACCGGTTAAGTTTATCTCCTGCACAAACACGCCCGCAGATAATTTCCTTTCGAAAATAGTCGATAAGAGTCCTTTGCGTTTAGTCTTCGGAAGACACCCTCAAGTTATTTCCAGCTCGGTTCAGAGATAGATAAAACTTTACTCGTATCATAGGTTAGGTTACAGAATTAATATTGTTTTACAGAGAAATCACAAAGTCAAGCTATTTACAATCTTATAAATATTAAAGTTCAGTAAAAATTTAGGTTAAAAAAATGTAGATCGCCGGTCACCGGTGACCACCATGACGGTCAACGCATTAATAATGGAGAAATGGGAAATGGAGACGGCCTGGCTTGTTCAAAATGAACGGGCCACGGTTACATAAGCAACATTTACGTCTCCTAATGGTTTCTAATGTGTTTTCGTTTTTCTGATAGTCACTCGGTAACCTACTGAATAATAGATGGCGTATTTTCAGACACAATATGCATCCCAAATAAGGAAAGTCATATCTAAAAAGGGGATAGTATATGGTCAGAGCATTTGTACGTGACTGGACTCGTCCATCTGTCGTATTTCTTTTCTCTGGGAAAGAACAATTTCCAAGCAGAGAGGTTATCTTGAAACTACGAGAGTGTATGAGAAACAAAAAATAATGATTACGAATGGTACGTCTCGCAATTCCTTAAGAATTACGCAATTTTAATCTCGGCTAATTTTTTCTGAAGCCAACGTTTGCAGAGCTGTCCAACTGTCTTTATTTGCACACAAGCGAAAGGAAAAAGGAGGGTACGCATACAGAAGGTGCTTATGCACATCCGTATGAATCTGTTTCGTTCCTTTTGCGTCCAAAATTTAACCTCTGCGATACGTTCCAGACGTTTAGAAACATTCATTATTTCTCGCCTCGTTGCTAGATTCACCCCCTTGAATGAACATACTGACATAACCTCTTCAAGGATACTAGCACTACGGTTCAGCCTTCATATGGCTATAATTGTAAATATATATTTATATAAGTTTCTTAATTACATATATAGCATAGTCACAAAAACAGATTACGTCAAAGGTATCAATTAGAATTTTAATTCAGTTTGTACGAAGCAATTCGTCCCACAAGAGGTTAAAATTATACAAAAATGATGTGTTAATAGGACTGGATGTGTCGTTCGTACAATCTATATATTAATACATATAAATGTTTAAGTTATCCAGCATTTTTTTCGATTCAGAATTTTCGCGTCGCTTTTGTATTGCAAATGACCCCCTTGCTCGGGGAAACGCTGTTTATGCGAAACGACTACACTGTATTTGGAGGCGTCTGTCCTCTGACGGCGAACAGACGAAGCAAAACCGACACGGCGAGACCGCGATCCAAACGAAGTCGCCGGAGAGGGGTTGTAAACGCGGCTTTTCGTTAAGGTTTCCAGCGATAAGATTTGCATGTTCGCACGGGCCGAGCGTTCCCTCATGGTCGGTTCATGGAAATGGATCGAGCCTCTCGATGAATTTTCACGAGCCGACGAGGGGTTAGTGGGATTAACGTTCGCTGCGCTCGCAGTTGCGCAGGGGACGTCTGACACGAAACTGGGTTGCACTACTTCGCTCGGTTCTGGCCGCAGCCGGAGACCAGGCTCGGGTGCAAGCTGCATAATGCATAGCTGGCACGGGTCGAGGGGCGAGTCGAAAGCTGTCCAACACGGAGAAGTTTCACCTGTTAAAAAATTATGAAACTTCCAGCGCCCATAGTCCGCCGTCGCGATAAACGATACGCAATTTTTTCTCGTCCGGCGAGTTCATTCACCAGCGACTTGAAACCGGTTCCAGAATGTTGTACTATCTTGCGCTTTTATTTCTAGATTTATCGGTCGATTTATTTTTTTTTCCATTTGCGTTTTTATTAGAAATCTAAAAGTATATTTTATATTCCGGGCTTGTAAACTCGAGAGGTTCCGATTTAGATACCTTCTACTGTGTTAGAACGTAACCTCAATTTTCGAATGTTTATTCCGATTTTGCAGCCCCGTTAGTCTTAATTACCGTTTCGAGCGCTGCAGCCGCGACAAACACATTCCGATGATCCAATAGAAGGTTCGAATTAAGGGCGGGGTTGGGCTCGCCGACCCTGGTAACCCGATTAATCGTGAACGTCATTCGATAGGACGTTCCACGGTCGCGTTTCATCGGCCCCTTTCATTTACCGATTCCTTTGGGAGATTGTATCACGGCTACGAAAGGCGTGTACATCAATAGTTCGATTTCAGACGGGCCGAGTTTACGCAACGCGTTTATGGCGGTCATAAAGCGACCCTTGTCATTCTCAGTGCTAGAATGTTAGGTTAGAATGTTCGCAATTCCATTTGTCTTTTATTCATTTTCTAACCTCTCTTTCTGCCGTTGCTGTATACGTGCTTCGTCACGCTTATTCTCAGAATTAATCGCTGTATCAAATTAACCGTAAAAATTTTGAAACAAAAAATAATTTTAGATAGATGGGCAGAAAAGTAGCTATGTATGGCGTTTGGGAGGGGATAGGGTCCGTCTGTCTACGGATCCTCGAGCGGCTATTACATTTGGCGTATACCCAGACCGCGTTTCAGCGTTTCGTTTTCGAGGGAAATCATAAGGTTGCTAAATTTTTGAACCGTGGTCTTTTGTCCGTGGCAGGAGTACGTGACCAGGTACCATGGGCAGAAAATGGGCTCTCTGGAGCCGCACGTGTTCGCTCTGGCCGAGGCTGCGTACAGGTCGCTCCAGGACACGGAAAGTAATCAGTCCTGCGTGATATCCGGCGAGAGCGGCGCCGGGAAGACCGAAACCACGAAATTTATCCTGCAATATCTGTGCTCGGTGACCAGCAACGTGGACACGTGGGTGGAGCAGCAGATCCTGGAGGCGAACACCATCCTCGAAGCATTTGGTAATTACAGTTTAATAAGCAACTGTTCGTTACACGATTTGTCGTCGCTTTTCGATAAAACCTATTTTCTAAAGGCTGGAAAATAGGCGAACGTAAACACGCGAGTCATCTGAAACCGGTCGACGAACCCTATTCTTAATGGCATTTAAAAATAAAGGGGATTCGTTACTCGGGAGTCGAGAGCCGGAGAAACGAGTCAGGTGTTAAATGCAGAAACGCGAGGGGTAAGAACTGGGTCAATGGAGAAGAAAGATTTAAGGGATATCGTAAAAATTGTACCGTTCGAACCTGAGCTACGCCAAAAAAAATATTTAAAAAAAAAAAAATATTTTCTTAAAACAAGTTCGTGGAATTGAAGTAAAATTTGTTCGTTGCTTATTTTGTTTGTGAAATGCGAGTTTAACGCGAGTTCGTTTTTGGAACCAGGTAACGCGAAGACGGTGAGAAATGACAACAGCTCACGGTTCGGGAAGTTCATGCAAGTGTGCTTCGACAGCAAGTGGATGATCAAAGGGTGCATCATCCAGGATTACCTGCTGGAACAGAGCCGTATAACGTTCCAAAGTGCCGGGGAGAGGAACTACCACGTGTTCTATCAGCTGGTCGAGGCTGGCACGAGGGACAAGGAATTCGCCGAGCAGTACAAACTGATGCCAGCCAGCCACTACAAGTATCTCAATCAGTCTGGCTGCGTAAAGATCGATGGGATCTCCGACTCTAAGAAGCTGGATGCACTTAGGCTCGCGTTCAACGTACTTCAGGTAATTAAGCCCCGGCTAAATCCACACCGATAACCACGAAAATAGATTGCCGTTAATTGCTGGGTTCCTCGCTGCGTTTGATGTATCACCAACTGGAATATTCTAACTATAACTTGCCACGACTGATAATTTATAACGGTCGGAATTTTTCGGCGAAATTAAAAAGTTTCAAATCGTTCTGGAAAAATTGTTCCCGGTTGCGGAGGTTAATTACAATCATTTTTGGTGAATAGACATAGCCCCGAAATCCTATGCACTTTCAAGAAAAAAATTCGTGTAGATGGACAAATTTTTCGACGAAATTAAAAAATTTCGAATCGTTTTAAAAAAATTATTTTTGGTTACATGGGGCAATTAGAATCATTTTTGGTGAATAGACGTACCCCCGAAATCCTACTCACTTTCCAGAAAAAAATTCAAGAAGATGAGAAATTTTTCGACAAAATAAAAAAATTTCAAATCGTCCTAAAAAAATTATTTTCGATTACAAGGGTCGATTACGATCATTTTTGGTCATTACACATATATCCGAAATCCTACGCATTTTCGAGAAAAAAATTCCTAAACGAAAATGTAATTTATGGCCAGAAATGGTTCCCCGAAATTTCATGCGAATCTTTAAAACGTCATAACTTCTGAACGGATTGGACGATTTTAATGTTTAAAAATGCAAACGACGCGTATTTTAATGTAGAAAATGTAGAAATTCTAAAAATATTTGGAAAGTTGTTCCTTGACTCGGCAATATGTGAAAAACCCCATAAAAATGGTCCAATTTTCAAACGTCCATAACTCCTACAATAGTGAATATATTTCAATGAAACTTTTTTCGGAAGTAGTACTCATGGGTACCTATAAAATAGTATTAGACAACTTTTCTATAGGACGTCAAACAAAATTATTAAAAATGAAAAACGAATTTTCAGAAAAATCGACAGGGGGTAGGTGCCTACTTTATCGGCGAAAAAAAAAAAATTTTGAATCGTTCTGAAAAAATTATTTTCGTTTGCGGGGGTCAATTACAATCATTTTTGGTGAATAAACATACCCCCGAAATCCTACTCATTTTCCAGAAAAAAATTCGAGAAGGTGTGAAATTTTTCGGCGAAATTAAAAAATTTCAAATCGTTCTAAAAAAATTATTTTTCATTCCGAGGGTCGATTACAATCATTTTTGGTGAATAGACGTACCCCCGAAATCCTACGCACTTTCGAGAAAAAAATTCGAGTAGGTGGACAAATTTTTCGGCGAAATTAAAAAATTTCAAATCGTTCTAAAAAAATTATTTTTAGTTACATGGGTCAATTACAATCATTTTTGGTGAATACACATACCCCCGAAATCCTGCTCAGTTTCGAGAAAAAAAATTCTTTATCGAAAATATAAAGTGAGGTTAGAAATGTTTCCCCCGAAGCTGAGTCCTTTGTTAAATTTTTCCAGGTTGCGCCAGAGATGTGCGAGGGCATTTTCAGAGTGCTGTCCGCCATTCTCTGGCTGGGAAACCTGAGCTTCGAGGACGTCGATGGCGAAAGATGCGAACTGAGCACCGAGGATCTCGAGATCGTCGGTACGGTGGCTCCGTTGCTGGGTCTGCAGGTCGAGGATCTGACGAAGGTGGTGCTAATACGACAGATAAACGTACGTGGAAACATCACCGAGATACCTCTGAAAGTGCAGGAAGCCAGAGAAAACAGGCACGCGATGGCGAAAGCGTTGTATTCGAGGGCGTTCGCCTGGCTCATCAACCACATCAACAATTGCACGAACCCCGGGCAGGACAGCTCGAGGTTCCTCGGCGTCCTCGATATATTCGGCTTCGAGAACTTCGCCGTAAACAGCTTCGAGCAACTGTGTATCAATTACACCAACGAGAAGCTGCACAAGTTTTTCAATCACTATGTGTTCGCATTGGAGCAAGAGCTTGTAAGTAGTTTCTGCCCGCTCGGTTCAGCGGTGGTTCATTGGGGCATGTGATGAGCTTGTGGCTCAACTGGTGGGGTGAAACCAGAGACAAGCAAAGTAGTTATCTAAGCGAAAATGTCGAGTAACGAGTTAAACTTAAACAGCTTATATATTTATAACGTTCTTGAACAAATCTGATACCTGTACCTAATATAATCATACAATTTTAGTATAAGGATTTTTATTATCAATTTAACTCTGATTGCAAAAATTCATAAAACTCCACACCCCAAGTTCTTACATCAATACTTAACTGGTTAGCCATGAAATTTGTTTTCATAGAAGGCAACATAGAATTTTCAATATATGTAAAAGGTTTTCATAATGCACGTCCTTAAAGGGGTTAGAGAGCAACAAAGGGACGACGCGAACCCACCGATGGCGAAGTCAATTACCGTAACACGTGGGACGTTTCGAATTTCAGTACCGTCAGGAAGAGATCCAATACTCCCATATCACCTTCACGGACAACACCATGTGCCTGGAATTAATCGAGAAACCTCCACGATGTGTTCTTAAGTTACTGACCGAGCAGTGCCATATGCCGAAAGGCTCCGACTTAGCTTACCTGACCAATTTGCACGCCGAATTCGAGAACCATCCGTGCTACGTGAAAGGCGACGACCGTCGAAAATGGGAGAAAGAGTTTGGCGTGAAGCATTACGCGGGATGCGTCACGTACACCGTCGAGGGTTTCGTGGACAAGAACCGCGACGTACAACAAGACGTCTTCTTCGACTTCATGTCGAGAAGCACGAACGAATTCGTGCAAGAGATCACCGTTTACCAGGACCTTCTTGGATGCACGGTGGCCCGTGCAAGCGGGAACACTACCACCATGTCCCGTGGAACGTCCAAAGGCAAGCCTACTCTTTGCGACTCGTTCAGGCATCAGCTGCAGGCGCTGGTCGACGTTCTGCAAGCCACCACACCCTGGTACGCAAGATGCATCAAGCCGAACATGCAAAAGATAGCGAACCACTACGACGAGAAGCTGGTGTTGGATCAGCTGAAGTATCTAGGCATGTTGGACATCATTCGAATAAGAAAGGAGGGCTTCCCTATACACATGGCGTTCCACGACTTCGTCGCTAGGTATCGATGCTTGGACAAGGCGCGTTTGTCCCGTTCCGGGGAGGAGATCGAAGCTGTCAAGTGCCTGATCAGTAGCCAAGGTATACCGGAGACCGAGTGGCAAATAGGCAGGAGTAAGGTGTTTCTGAGAAGCTACGTTCACGAGCCGTTGGAAGACTCTAGGAACCAAATGGTCACCAGCAATGCCATCATGATACAGAAGATATGGAGGGGCTACGTCGATAGAAAGGGTACGTTACTTTTGTAGGCTATCAGGGAATTATTAAGTTCCTGTATATTGCGTTTCCCTTTGCAGACTACAAACGCGTAAGGGAGGCTGCGTTGAAGGTGCAGCACGCTTATCGAGGCTGGAAACTAAGGATAATGTTCATCAGAAAGCGCAGAGCAGCTATTGTCATTCAGAGTCATCTGCGCGGTGTCTTTGCCAGGGAGGTGGCGACAGCCCTGAGGGAAATGAGGCGAGTGGATGAAGAGATGAGAAAGAGAGAGAGATTGGAGGAAGAGAGGAGACTAATGGAAGACAAGAAAGCGCTAGAAGAGAGCCAAAGGTACGATCGACCAGCCACCCTACAGTTTATGATACGTAGGGTGTTGGTAAAGCTTTGTTGTACGCTGATATAAATGAACCGAGGAAGACAAATAACAGTATACAAGTATCGGGTCGAGTCATGATCCACTGATTCAGATTTCTACATTGCTATGCACAACGAAGCTTTTCCAGCCCTCTAGGTACTATACCCTTATTTTAGTATACGATGTGCGGTGACGTTACGTGGGATGATCGTTCGTTTGTGCGTTAATAGCGTTTCCATTTGTGTCTCTTGTAGCGCACAGTACAATGGTATTGTCGGAATGGAGCCTGGGTAAGTTCCTGAGTAGTTGAAACGGCGAATAAAAAATCCCTGCCGCATGATGGAGTTTTGCAGCAAATAATTGCTCTTAACATACGTAACAGAGTCTAATAGACCCGCATATGCATATCAGCACGCGTCACGTATTCCCCTGACTAATCTCTGCGCTTAAACACTAAAACCACCCGCTACGATCCACGAGCGAAGTGTCTCTAGCGGCTTTGTTCGATTTTACAGGAAGGCGCAAGAAGAAATCGCCGCGTTGTCGCAAATGGCAGAACAGATGAACTCCAAGATGGCTGCCTCGGATTTGCAATCGGTAGATCTGGACAATCTGTTCTCGTTTCTGTCCGACGTTCAGTCGACTAAGGGTAATCAAATTATCGACGAGATTGGCGAGCAAATGGACGAATTGGTGGAAGATCTTGACGTAGAACTGGAGACTGTGATTCAGTTGGAGATGGAGATGAACTCCAAGTCAGAATCCAGCGCGAACACTCCGAATGGACAGGACCCACCGTCGCCGCCCCAGCAACAGTCGCAGTCGCAGCAGAGGATAGCCTGTGGAAACAGTGGCAAGCTTGGTCAGCCTAGTCTTCCAGAACCCACTGAACCTCCTCCGCCCCCGCCACCGCCTGCTCCGCCTATAGCGATGAACGGTGATTCCTCCACCGACAACGGGGAGCCAATTTACGAATCCGTTTTGCCACGCGAGGAAAACAGTCCCGGTAGTCCCATCGTGGTGAACGGAAACTCTGGATCGTTGGTGAACGGTGAGACCTGTGGATCGCCTCCACCGGTACCAAATAACAAGGTCATCAAGGAGCAAATTGCAAGCAGTCCTCCCTCCAGGCCAGAATCGAGGAATTCGAACAGCCATCACTTGCATCACAACCATCACCAACCGGTGCCTCAGCAGCAACAGAACGGCCACGATCAGCAGCAACAGCAGCAACAACAACAGCCACAACCACAGCCGGTAGAACGCGAGCAAAGACGGAAATGTAGAGTGGAGCGCAAGCTTCAGGAACTGGAGGACAAAAAGGAACCTGACAGCGAAGTAACATATCACGACATCGTAGAGTTCGCGCAGAATTACTTTAACAGCCACGAACGATCGCCCGAGGGAACGATAATGGCCACTCTCACCAGAAAATCGCGCGGCAAGAGCGTCGAGTTCATACCAAAGTACGAAATGGTCACCTATTACAAAGGCTCCACCATTCCAAATTCTCACATTCATATGTACGACCCTGATAACGTTAACGTGGCGTGTTCGGTCTTCAGGGTAAGCATCTAATACTAGTTTTATGAAATTGTTTTTTTTATTTGGTATCCAGTCGAGTAGGCAATACAATAGAGAGTTAACGTTCGTTATGAAACTGTTTCTTGATGTTTAGGATCTCTGTAAATACATAAGGGGAGAGATGAAGTTGGATCAGGAGATCGCAACTATTCAGAGTATAATCGGTTATGGTATCGAGCGCGAAGAGCTGAGGGACGAGATTTTTGTTCAGTGCATGCGTCAGGCGACAAATAACCCCAACCTAGAATGGGCTGAACGAGTCTGGTTATTGCTGTGTCTGGCGATCGTTGCTTTCCAGCCTAGCAAACTGCTCTACAAGTACTTCCTCTCGTTCTTGCGAAAGAATTTGGCTCTGGAAGGGAAACTGAAGCAGTACGTTCAATGGTGCGTGGATAACTGTAAAAACATGAAAGCCTCCTGCAGACAACATCCACCGTCCACGGTAGAGATCGCTGCCATGAGACGATTGGGCACTATAGTTTGTCGGTTCTTCTTTCTGGATGGAAGAACCAAGGCTATCGATGTGCATCCGACCGACACAGCCGCCGATGCGGTTACAAAGTTAGGTGAAAAATTGGGGCTTCGATCTCTGGAGGGTTGGGCGATCTACCAAAGCAGACCGGATGGCGAGGAGCACGTGCGGGCGCACGATTACTTGTACGACGTGATAGCTGCTTGGGAAATGTACGCGTTACCAGACTTATCTATTTTAACAAACTATGTACTGTTAAAAATAACTACAATTAATTCTAAATCCTCAGGAAACAATGCAAGTTGAACACAGCGCAATCAACATTTTCCACGCTGCGACGAAGTAACAACGCTACTTTAGGCAGCGGTGATAATAGATTCGTCTTCAAGCGTAGATTGTTCAGAAACACTCGGGAAATATCTCAGGATCCCGTCGAAGTGAACATGCTGTATGCCCAAGCAGTGTACAATGTTGTGAAGGTAATTAACGTTGCCACAAAAAAAGAAAATATTCATTTACCAATATTGTCTCAACGTTTAATTTTCAACATTTCAGTGCGACGACTTCCCAGTGTCCGAGAAAGTTGCCCTTCAGCTTGCAGGCCTGCAAGCTCAAGTCGCTTTGGGAGATCCGAAAGATAACGATCGATTAGATTATTACAGCGAGGTGGATAGCTTTTTGCCTTATCGAATAAGTCGAGCCCGTGGCGACGATGTTTGGGTGCCGATAATAGCCCAAGCACACAGACAGTACGGTGCTGGTCGCAAAGAATTGGCGGCCAAAGTGTTGTATCTGTCTTGCGTGATGCAATACCCGCTCTACGGCACGACGATGTTCAACGTCACGTATCGAGGATACTGGTCCTACGGTAATCAACTGATCCTGGGCATCAACTGCGAAGGTTTGATGCTGATCAAGCCGGACGATAAGTTCGTTTTATCGGAGTATAGGTATCAGGATGTGGAGAGCATTATGTTGGACCCGAGCGACTCCTTCATCACGCTGTCCCTGCTTCGTCACAATCCCGACAGCTCGCACAAGTGTTTCGTGTTCGAAACTGCGCAGAAAAATGAGATCGGTAGTTTGATCGTTAGCTACTGTCCAGCGTTGGCTGGTTGGATCACGGAGAACGAGGTTCCTACCAAGAAGCTCAAGTGCATCACCAACGAGGATCGTATCAGGCTCTATCACAACTTGGTTAACTGTCGAAGGACGCTCGTCGACGCGGAAATACTGAGGAAACCGCAGGACTCTGGCGGTGGTTTCCTCAGGAATACCCTAAGGAGGCTATCGAAGCACAGAATAGAGAAGCTCAGGCAGGAACACGGTAGCGCAACGGATCACGGTGAGACTTACAAGGGATTCCCGTACGCGTACTGGGCGTTCAGCAGACAAGCTATACCTCAGAGTCTTTCGAAACTTCCCGATCCTGACGAGCAAATGTCCCTCAGCGTGTTCCAATTAATCTTAACGTACGCGGGTCTCGGACAGAATGGCGACACGGTTCGAAGAGTCGAAGACGAGCACGTGAACCTGATACAAACGGTGATGGAACGTTGCATAAGGAAAGAGAACTTGCTGGGCGAATTGTATTTACAGTTGATCAAGCAAACTACCGATCACCCTGATCCTAACAGTCGGGTGAATCTCAGGCATTGGGCGTTGCTCTCTCTGGCCTGTTCGGTAATCCTACCGCCGCAAAAGGTTATTCGAAAGTATCTGATCGCGCACTTGAAGCGTTGCGCCAGCGATTACGTGACGGAAGAAGGGAAGTATGCCCGATTCGCTGAAAAGTGCCTTTACAAGACGCAGGGCACGAGGAGAAGACAATGGCCGCCGAGCAGGGAAGAGATAATGTGCACGATCAATCGTAGGCCAATTTACGCGAGATTCCATTTCATGGATGGACAGTACCACGCCGTGGAATTCCATCCGTCGGCGACAGCCAGGGACGTTATGGAAATCATCAAAGTTAAGATTGGTCTGGAAGAAACAGCTCTGGGTAGAGATTACAATAATCACGTTACGTAGTTTCATTCGCTGGTTATCATGATTTACAATTGAGCTATGATTTACAGGATATGCTATTTACGAGGTCCTAGGACCGACCGAACGAGCATTGATACCGGAAGAGAAAATCGCGGACGTAATGTCGAAATGGGAACGTTACAGAACGGCGAACGCACAACAGAACCAATCGCAAAGGAAACATGCACACCATTTCTTCCTATTTAAGAAACATTTGTTCCTCGATCAATACATGAATCTCGACGATCCCGTGGAGAAAGAGTTACTGTACCATCAAGTGTTGCACGATTTACGCGCCGATCGGTTCCCAATCACCGAGAAGGAAGCTGTAAATAATTTTCTTTCCGTCTGTAAACCTTGTTAAACTTGTTACATATATCGTAGATCGGAGGACATTCGAAAAGAACGCGGCACGACGTTTACTGAACTCTCGATGTCTTTTCAGATGATGCTGACAGCCTTGCAAGCTCAATTGGAACTAGGTGATTGCGAGGATGCCGTTTCGGACCAAGATTACCGTGCTATATCGAGTCACTGCCTACCCGCAAGACTGGTACCAAATTTGTGCGTGGAAGGTGTTTTCCAACACCATCAATCTTTGAGAGGAATGACGCCGCCAGAAGCGAAAAAGGCTTTCTTAAATTTAATTCAGTCATGGCCACTGCACAGGGCCACGATATTCGATGTGATGCAATCGTTTACTTCGAACTGGCCACGCGTTCTTTGGTTGGCCGTCGATCAACAAGGTCTTCACCTTCTGGAGCATCGCTCTAGAAATGCTCTCTGTACCTACGAATATAACAGTATTCTCAGTTATAATCCAGCTGTTAGTTGTTTGATGATTATCACCGGTACTGATAAGAAACAGAGCAAAGTGATCCTAACGACATCCCAGGTAACTGTTTGCAGAGCTTAAAAAGAATGTAAAGAATGTTTTGAGCATCGAGCGGATTTTTAATTTGTCTTTGCTATTAATTTCAGGCACACCAAATAGCGAATTTAATTCGCGAGTATATGGACGTGCTACAATCGCCGCCAGAAATACCGAAGAGAGATTCAGCGATAGCTCAACAAATAGCTCAGCAACAGCTGCAGCAACCACCCTCGAATCTCACGACTGCCGGTGGTCGTAAATCACGACCTGCTTCGGTATTGCATAGAGGTGCTCCAGTGATACAATCGCAAGCTAGTTAAAAAGTTAGGCGAATCGTTAGGTGAGACACTTCTTCCCAACCTGATACGCAAACGATTAACTCATACATGTGTAAAAGTTTCTTCTTACATATTTGACTCTTTAACGAAGATGCCTCGATATCTGATGTTTCTTTGATAAAGATAGGCCGACTCAAAAGAAGAAAAATGCATTCCAATATCGTCTACAATAACCCCTAATATACACCTATACTTCTATATTTCTACATTTCATCATTCAGATTCAATTATTTGTTGTTAAAATTAAAATGTGAAGTTTGTTATCAGGCTGTGGCGAGGAAGTGTCCTGTAGTTATTAATGCTTTATCGGCAAGGCCTATCAGGCGGCGAGTAAGAATCGTCGCGACGAGATGGCACTAGCCTAGGAATACTTCTTTCTTCCAGTATTTATTCAATTTAGCTTAGGGCTCGAGAGGCGTCGAATGATGATAGCTGCCACCGCGGAGAGTAGATCTAGCAAATGGACCGACCGACAAAACAACTGCCATTTTACGATTTTTCAAGCTGCAAAGCTGTTAAAGATTTCTATTTCCATTTTTCCTCGTGTAAACGTCGTTGCCTTTTTTACGAGCGATCGTCAACGTTTTTTATACAAATTTTTCCAGCGTATACAACCCGCAACCGTAAAACGCAATAACCGCTGAATTGATCGATGAGTATTATTAATACAGGTGTACCGTATCCACACACTTCGACATATCATTTCGTATCGTCTAACGAAAAGTGTGATATACACGATTTCATTTGGACAATGTCAGGAACGACTAATTCATTAATTCTATCCTCGATTTTACTTCTCTCGTTAATCACTCTGTTCGACGATACCATCAAAAAGAAAAAGTAAAACTTCGAATAGTCGCCATATTGCAATCGACGTTAACATCTCGAATATTAGACTTGCGCAAAATTTAAACACAATTATACACGCTATAATTATACTTACATACAATATTCCAAGTATAGCAAGCGATAATGTAATAATTAACTCGTATTTCGAAAAATCTTCGATCACGTTTCAATCGAAAGTTGAACGGTAATCGGATATTCGTTTTTCAGACAATCCTTTCGCGCTATCGTCGCTTTTCTTGTAAAGCTTACGACTATGAAATTAAATCGAGCATTTAATAGGTGGAATTATCGTTCGTGCGGAAATAAAAAGAAAAACAAAAAAAAAAAAACAAAAAAATATCCGTGATTCGAATGCGATCGTATCGATCAAAAATGCCACGAAATTGCGTCCAAAGAAATTTTGTTTCGTTTCTTTTAATTCAAGAGCCCCGGAATCGCTCGATATCTTGGTATGTAAATATTAAACAATCAACAGAGGAATGTTTAAACGTAAAACGATAACGATAAGTTTCGAGCAGAATTCTCCAGTGTTCAATTCAAATTTCGTTTCCACGTAAATTAAATTTACATCTCGATCGCGTACAGAAATTTGTAACCCTTTCAAAATAATCTATCGTATCTGTAGAGCTCAACTGGTATACGGAATCGAAGTTCTTTCACAGTTCACTATGTAGAAATACCGTTAGTTTCTGCTAATATTAACGGTGATTGCGCTCAATAATATAACAATTACAAGATTCTGTAAGTAAAGAATTGTACGATAATTCATTTTTCGAGTTACACGGTATATCCGATTTTACGAAGCACTTTTTACGGAACACAGTCGAGAAAGGGTTAGGGTAACATTACGTATGCAATTCCCTCTAATAAGAATCTTTTGTCGAACACTGGAGCTCATCGAATCCGGAGTTCGTTCGGACCAAAATTTCGTTCCAATGTCTCGAACCACTGCCTACGATCCTTGCTTACGCGTAAAGAGCAAAGTTTCTATTTTCACTCGATTACTGTAAAGTGTTACGATGACTCTTATTGGTTGCTCGGAATTGTAATCTGGTCAGAAGTTCTCTGTTCGCCTTTTGGCGGCAATAAATATTGCGCCGTGTACCTAGAAAACGTTGCGATACGCGTACTTAAGGATCGATCAGGAAGCAAAGATCGAGGACTCGTGACGAAACGAAGAAGTTTTCGTGTACCCTTTGTATTTATTGAGATTTCCTTTCCGGGAGTTTGGCTAAGATTCGACGAGTGCAGAGACAGACTGTGATCCGCTTTGGGTGTCCTTAGTCTTCGAGAGCTGTTTAACGAGTGAGACTTCGTGTTAACTAATAGAAAAATGGAGGACGGAAGAGGTGGTGAGTGGCGAATGCGTGAACGGCGCGGGTGAGAAAGAGATCGCGTGAATGTGTGAAAAGGAACGTACGAATCGAGAATGCGATTTACGACGCGTGCATGATACTTAAAAGGGAAAAAGAAAAGGGGGGTGGGAGGGAGTAGCGGGGGAAGGTACGCAAAACCCCGTATTGTGTAACTTAAGCGAAATAAATTATTGGTTGACGATGTTATATTGAAATATTTAAGAACGGACAACACTGTATATACGTATATAAATAGTAGACACGCATAGATGGATACGCACACAATGCAAATTACATGCGATTACATACCCACACAGACATACACACACACACGCGACAAATTTTGTTGTAAACTCGAAGGTACACCTACAAAAATACAGAGGGAGTTACACGCCTACACGCGACGAGGTTATACATACTATTATATAAATATGAACATAAATATAAATATAGATTATTAATATACTCGAGCTATGTATTAAGGGTACAATAAAAGAAAGCGAAGCTTTAATATTGCAAGTAATGAGGACTTGTTTCTTCGGGTAGCAAATTAATCGAACGACGATCAGCGACGTTGCTCGAAGCGAAACTATTTAAATTGTTCTTTAAGTACGATCAAATAATTATGTTCCGAATAACGTACAAGCGAAAGCATTTTGAATCGCTATAAAATATCGGTGCTTTGTCAGTGGCTTCCCGACATTTTAATTTAAAAGTATGTTACGAATTTAATAAATAAATAACTGGTTATCAAACGCACATCATTGCGTATTGAAGATATGTTCAATACATGAAACCTACGACAACATTAAAAAACCGTGATTTTTTTTAGTCAGAATAATCGTGGAAAATTTGGAACTTAGGGACATAGACAAACTCCATATTTGCTTAAAAATAACATTTATTGAATATTATACGCGTCTGGTATGAATTATAAAACTATTCGTCGGTGTCGTCGTCGGTCTTTTCATCCTTTGGTGCTTCCTCGACGTTTGGAATTTTTAATTTCCGTTTAAAAGCGTCAATGTATTTCAGTACTTGTGTTTTGGAACTTTGCTGCACCTGCATGAAATTAACAAGTGTATTCATTGCAACTAGTAAGTAATAACATATTGTCCATGGAAATTTACCATTTCCAAAACTTTATCCAAAGCGAGCAGTATATTTTTTTTCGACGAGTCGTCTATCTCCAGATGCAAATACTGTAAAGATTTAATGAGCATTTCCTCGTCGATGCAGCTGTTTGAATTTATCACTTCCGTAAAAATGGTGAAAACAAGATTATTGTGCGCGTAATAATTTTTCGATGCGAATTTGGAATGGCTGATTCTGGTCATGCTCAGTATGAATTTGGACACGTCGTAGGGATCAATTTCTTGCAAGGGACTGGTGTCTGGTGCGTTGTACAAAATTTTTAATGTCGGCAAGTACGCCTCTTCAAACATTTCTTGCGCCTGGGGTACGCGTGTTAAAAAGTTATCGAAGAAAGTACTTAAACACTGTCGAAGATAGTAGTCCCTATCATTCGCTGGATTGAAGCATAAAATTATTAATCTCGACAATAAACCGACGCTACTGATTCGTTGATTAATCAACAACTTGCAGAAACCTTCGGTGGCGATCGTTCTTATTTCTTCATTCTGTGTTTTTATTAAAGAAAATACACGTATCATTTTCTCAACTTGAACGAACGTTACGCGAAATATATACTTACCGCGTCGTCTAATAATCCTGTTAGAATTTTAATAAAATTGCAATTGTTCCCCTCAGTTTCAGACCTCTGTGTCGACGACGGAGATTTTTTACTTTGATCGATGGTTTCTTCCTGACTTTCTACGTTCCCGAAATATTCGAGACCGTATAACGATAGAAGATCAAAGATTCCCTTCAAAGCTGTGATCAAAATTTTTGAATTTTCTTGCTCCAGAGAAAACTGTAGAAGCAATATTACCATATGTTTCTTCGCAAGTTCCTTATCTAATATGCCATAGATACTGATCGTTTTTATTGCCAGCATGTAAACGTTATCGTTCGGATACTACGAATAAAAATTACATCGAATGAATCGGAGGAGCGAAATAAAAAATTAGAAAACAAGTACTTACATCTAAACTGACGAGACCCATTTTCATCAAATCTCTAAGAGTCGGCGTTAACGAAGTTACGGACTGTAGTGCAGTACATATTATGCTTAGACATTTAATCATCGTTTCCGGATCATCTTTTTCCTTGATCTCTTGTTCGACGATCATCAAAGGAGGAGGAACTTTTACCGAAGACATTTTTATTTCTTCGGTTAATTCATTTATTTCCTTCTGTAAACTGTCCGCCTTCAAAAACTCCTTGTCTTGTATAGCCTGATACTCTATTTGTTTTAATTCCAACAACTTCACCTTGAGCGATGCTATCTGAAAAATACTATTAATTAGGGGCATTTATAGTTCAAATATTTAGCGTGAACGTATTTTAATATTACGTCTAGATTACATGCTTACATCTACATCGTTCTTTTCTTGTTCGTATTTGGAAATTTGAGGATTTTGTTCAAATTGCGAAGGTTCTGTCAAAGGCGCTCTAATATCGCCGATCACGTTACATAAAATATTTACTCTACTATTTACATCTGGTATAACATATTGTAAATGCGATACTATACATTCGATGATCTTTTCAGACCAGTGGTTACCTAGCAAGGTATTGCATATTAATTCGTTCAATTTTTTCCGGCCAAGTTCATCGGACAAATCGTACGTTGTTGTTATCTCAAATAACTGCAAGAGAATAAACTTATGCATAGAATTAACCCATTTCTCCGTTTGGTTTTCGAGTATTGATGTTTGAAAGTCGGAGATATATTTGCAAAATATGGATAATTCGGGTATAATTTCTTCCAATTTGTCTGTACGATTTTCATGATAAAAATATTTTATTAAACATTTCCAATACAATACATTCTCGCTGTTTAACTTATCTACTGGAATTAATTTCGTTTCTTTGTTTATTGGTAATTGTTCTATCAAACTGTTTATCCCACTGCTCCTAATTGAATAAAAATGAAATATTTATTAGTTCAATTAATTGTAATAAATAATCTTATATCACTCGACCCGATTACATTAATCGTTTTTCCAATTACATGCATATGATAAGGTATAAATGAAATACGTACTTAAATAAAGTTTCTAGAGAAAGAGCAGATACATCTGTACCAATTTCAGCATCAAGGGCTCTCACTAAACTCAATAAATCCCCTTTGAAGTATCTCAACCATGATGGTAACATAACATTTTGTACATACTTCCTGACCAGATCAGATCTATCTTTTAAACCATCATTTAATAACCGGTCTCTCTGTGTGATAGTCAAAGATCTAACTGTGATCTTACTGATAAATTCATACGCCGCTTTACGTACTCTTTCATTCACATCTCTTGTTCTTCTTAATGCTACCTGCAATGTTTTTTGATTTTTTCCCATGCACATCAATGTTGCTTTGCGAACTTCTGCCACTGGGTCCTTGGAAGCATGATATATGTACAGTTTTATAACTCGACAGTTGTCGTCCATAGGGTCTTGAAGTCTATGCAAAGCGTATATCGCCTCTGCCCTGACTTTTGGCGATTTATCCTTCAAACGATCCGTCATGGAGGCAATAATTTTGTCACAAAGTACATCATCTATGAATGTTTCATCCCCCATTGAGTTCAGTAACATATTCAGAAATTTACAAACACGAAATCGTACGGCTGGATCTTTCACACAACAATGGCTCAACAGAAAGTCAAATAATTTACTAAGGAAAGGACACAGTGGTTCCTCAGACTCTTCATTCGTGACATTAAATAAACTGGCAGCAAACTTGGCAACAAATTGAAGAGTACATTCAACTCGTGGATGGTGCTGTGCGACAGTAAGTGGAATTCTAATGCACGACACAAAAGATGCCCAAAAATCTGACAGTTCGTACTAAAATAAGAAAAGAATTAGCATATCAATTATATTAAACGTACATCATGCATATCTAAATCAAACGAATGTTTATAATCAACCATTCGCGATAACAAAAATGAAAATGTCACGAAGAATTAGATCGCAACAATAACAATCTGTTCGTACCTGCTCGTAGTACTTCCTTAACTTTTTCATGTTACTTTTATGACAAGTTCTAGAGAACTGAACATTGTAGAATATTTTCCCTATAAGTGCATCTATATTTTGATCCATGTCTGTTCCAAATTATTCCGCTAATGCTTTAAATAAATGAGCACTTAATAGCATTGTGAACATATACCCGTAATTTCATACAAGATTCCAACCGTTTTACTTTTCAAATGTATTCGGAGATGCCAGATTGAACGCCGGGTGCACCAATCACACTGTGCCTTGATCACGTGTACGTGAGATCGTAGAGTTTCGGAAAGTCGACAAAGGCAAATTGACGCATGCTCTCTTTCTCGATTCTCCGAAGCTGACCGAATTAATTTCGGACCGACTCGTGGGAGTCGAGAGAGGAAGGCTCACATTTGCCTTCTCGCTCCCACACAACTGAAATTCGACCTCGCGTCGACGGCATACGATTCCAAGTCTCGTCTGCCCAGGTATTTTTTACTTTCCGACCTATGTATGTAGACGAACATAAGCAAGGTACTATAATGAAAAGAAATTTTGTGAAATTTTTCTTACGAAAATACACGTTTTAAGACCCCCCGATCATATTTGAATTATTGAAAAATAATAAATTCTTTTTTATTATTCCTATGTATGAGCGTACATATGTATATCATTTCAGATATCACATCTACTACATCTGGCAACGTATAACCATTACTGCCGGCTACTGCCAGCCTCTCACAGCCTCTGCTGGCTTCTACTGGCCTCTGCCAACCTCTGCCAGCATGTGCGGGCTTCTGCGTGCCTCTGCTGGCCCCTGCTGACCACTGCTGACCACACCCGTTACTTCCGACAACGTATAACGATTACGACTAGCTACTGCTAGCTTTCCCAGCCTCTGTTGGCCTCTCCTGACCTCCGCTTATATTTCTGACGACGTATAACAATTACGACTGACTTCTGCCAACCTCTGCTGGCCTCTGCTGACCGCTGCTGACCACACCTGATACTTCCGGCAACGTATAACGATTACTATGTGTTACTGCTTGCTCCTGCTGGTCTCTACATGCCTCTACATGCCTCTATATCCCTCTGCCTGCCTCTGCTGGCCTCTGCTGGCCTCGGCTGACCACTGCTGACCATCCCTGATACTTCCGACAACGTATAACGATTACTACTTGTTACTGCCTGCCCCTGCTGGTCTCTGCTTGCCTCTGCAAGCCTCTGCTGTCCCCTACTGCCCCTACTGACCCCTGCTGACCACTACTGACCCTTGTTAACAACTTCTGTCATGATATATATGTATTAAAACATTGTATAATGTAAATCTATGGCAATAAATGATATAATTACAAGGAATTCTATCTGTTCTCGACATTTTTTACCTTTCTTTTCCTTTCCAAATCATTACCTTAGTTATAAGACTCCCTGAAACAATTGGAAAGTCCTGAAACCACTGGAAAGTCCTGAAATTCAGAACTTTGCTAAAAATTCAGGACTTCCAAGTTGTTTCAGGACTTCCCAGCTGTTCCAGGACTTTCCAGCTGTTTCAGGACTTTCCAGCTACCAGGAATTTTTCGTTGTTTCAGGGCTTTTTCGTTGTTTCAGGACTTTTTCGTTGTTTCGGGACTTTCCAGTTGTTTCAGGACTGGTCAGCAGCGGTCAGCAGAGGCGAGCGGAGGCAGGCAGAGGCCAGCAGAGGGATGTAGAGGCATCTAGAGGCATCTAGATGCATGTAGGGACCAGCAGGAGCAAGCAGTAACACATAGCAATCGTTACACGTTGTCGGAAGTATCAGGAGTGGTCAGCAGCGGTCAGCAGTGGCCAGCAGAGGCCAGCAGAGGGATGTAGAGGCATCTAGATGCATGTAGAGGCATGTAGAGAGCAGCAGGAGCAAGCAGGAACACGTAGTAATCGTTATACCTTGTCAGAAGTATCAGGACTGGTCAGCAGCGGTCAGCAGAGGCGAGCGGAGGCAGGCAGAGGCCAGCAGAGGGATGTAGAGGCGTCTAGAGGCATCTAGATGCATGTAGGGACCAGCAGGAGCAAGCAGTAACACATAGCAATTGTTATACGTTGTCGGAAGTATCGGGAGTGGTCAGCAGCGGTCAGCAGTGGCCAGCAGAGGCCAGCAGAGGGATGTAGAGGCATCTAGATGCATGTAGAGGCATGTAGAAGTATGTAGAGAGTAGCAGGAGCAAGTAGTTACGCGTAGTAATCATTATACATTGTTGGAAGTAACAGGAGTGGTCAGCAACGGTCAGCAGGCCCCAGCAGAGGCCAGCAGTGGCATGTAGAGGCGTGTAGAGGCATGTAGAGGCATGTAGAGGCTTGTAGAGACCAGCAGGAGCATGCAGTAACACATAATAATCGCTATACGTTGTCGGAAGTATGAGGAATGGTCGGCAGCGGTCAGCAGATGCCGGCGGAGGACTGTAGGAAAATTCAAAAATACATGTAGTCGTACTTTATACATTGTACTTTTTACCTTATAGGTAAAAAGGGGTATAGTAAAGTAAAAAATACTTGGGCAGCCGAGACTTGGAATCGTATGCCGTTGACGCGAGGTCGAATATCAGTTGTTCAAGAGCGCAATGGCAAATGTGAGCCTGCCTCTCTCGAGTTCCACGAGACGGTCCGAAATTACTTGTGTCAGTTTGCCTTTGTCGATTTTCCGAAACTCCACGAGCTCACGTATGCGTGATGTGGCATGTGTAAGTAGTGCACTCGGTGCTGAATCTGGCATCACTGATCCCCCTTGGACTCAGTGAAGTGATTAATGCGTTTAAATGATGACAGAATTATATTTTATTAGAAATACAGTAGGTATATTTTATTTCGAGGTATCATTAATTAAATGTATACTTATAAGTGTATTTTTATTTATACATGATTAACATAATCATATAACAATATGTTTAACAAAACCAAGTGTACACATTAAAGCTATAGATATTGTTCTAAGATTTAAAAAAACAATATGACATAAGGATTTACTTAAACTAATGAAATCTAAAGTATTTACGTGTCCTATTATTTCTTTTCAATCCATGAGTTCGCAAGTATCTCCAATATTCTTTGGTATTTGGATCCAATTCTGATAATTTTATTGGTTGTGTTGTAATGTTCCACAACCATTCAGGATATTCAGAGTCAGGTTTCAGTTTTACATCTTCTCCTTCCTTAAGAATGTTTGTTCCACATACATAAGTCAATAACTTATTAATATCCTTTTCAACAGGTATAGAAGCCGTTTTTTTAACAATAATCTTTTTACCAAAACCAGAATGTTTTCCAGATGGTTCTACAAACAAACAAATTTTATTTTGTAACATGATGTGTAACAATGTTACTAACTTAACGAATTATACGATTAATAAATTCAAAGAACACTGTTCTTATGTTTTTTTTTTTTTTAATTATAAAGTTAATATATCGGAAAGATTAAAAGAGAAAGAATTTAAAAAAATACCGTGCGTACATTATTTAACTTAACCTCTAATTCAATAAGAATCTAATTTTCTACTGAAACATTACATAAAGATTGAACAAAAAATATATTTACTTTGATAGCCTTTCGCTTGTATCGCATATTGCACTGGAATAATAAAACTCTCCCTTAAGTGAAATAGCCGTAAAGCGGAAAGAAGAGACATTAGTATTTAATAATGTTTTACAAATATAAATGGACAAATTGTAACTGAAGCGTCGAAATCCCTTGCGCAGTGTGGCCAGATTTAGTATAATTGCACGCATCGACGGCGACACTAGAAACGACGAACTTCCTCAGCTTTTAACAAAGTGGTGGGGAAAGCCGACAATATCCTACCGCACGAGCCACATGTTACGCCAGGTCAGCACTTCATGCAACTTCGGGAAATCGGTAAAGAACGTGAACAGGAGCCTTTCCTTCTTGCTCTTGAACAGCTGAAGTCCGTCCTCGCGTCAATGGCATACAATTTCGAATCTCGACTGCCCCGACATTTTCACGTTTCAAGTTATATGGGCACAAATATATAACCAAAGCCCATATTGAATGAAAAATTGACACGTAAATACACGTTTCAAGACCCCCTGATCATGTTTGACATGAAACAATACTTTGGAAATAAATCGTTTGAATATAGTTTATCAAGTAAGACTGTCGAAATTATTTTCAAACGATTTATTTTCTAATTGTTCTATTATTTCAAATAATAATTTTTTGATTTTATAGCAAAGAATGTTTATTTAATATCAATTCAATAAATTCAATTTGTATTTGTATATTTTTCGCCTATATAGGTAAATATACCATGTTCAGTTTTATTGCATAAGTTGTTCCCACAAATGAGATTTTCTTGGTCTTTAAAAAGACCGGTTCTGTCCCTTGGCCGCTGCTCGTGAAACATCTTCTTGGCCGCCAACTTCCGATTTTGATCGAATAAAAATCTTCAATTAAATTCTTCATCTCGATACGGTCCGTGTTGCTTGGGGGTTGAATACGAAGAATATTCGAAAAGTTGTTCCTTAACGTCATAAAGTGACAAATTGCTCAGAAAAATTGTCAATTTTCAAACGATCATAACTTTTACAATAGTAAAACTTATATCATTGAAATTTTTTCTAGAAGTTGAGCTCATGAATACCTAGAAAAAAGTATTAGACAACATTTCATTTTGATTTCGATTAAAACTGAAATTTATATTGTTTTAAATTCGCAGCCATTAGCTCGGTGTTACCCATAATGAAGAAGTTCTTCTTGAAAGGTAACACCGATTACCAGGTCTCACCACGAGGAGGTTGCTGCGATTGGAGACCCAAAGTGAGATCGATGGAACAAAGTTCGATCGACCTTCCTTTTTACACACTTAGAAACTAGATTACGCAAAAAAAAAGATGCCAAGTAATTACTTTTCTAAAACAAAGGAGGAAGGTAAATTGTGGGAGACGCGACACGACGAAACGCGACACAATACTGCGCAGTGCAGTAGGAACATGAGGTGCGACACGTACCGAATAGCGGGTCAAAAGGGGCAGCTCGTTACCTCTTAGCAAGTCCAATTGAAGGGGAGGAGAATCGACGCACCAGACACGGGTTCCCCATTTCTCCAACGCGTCCTGCTGGGAGCCCGTAGGACCCAACCCGGGACGTCTGACACAGGAGAGGGATCCTGAGTCGGGGCTACCGCAGACAGGAACAGGTCCCCTCTACGGCCGATGACTCTTTCCCTAGAATTGTCTCACCAGAGGACGGCAACCGACCCTTCGAACCATCTAAACGGCCGATCACTTGCTTTCTACATTAAAGCAGCGGTGACCGGAGAAACGAGACTGGAAAAGAAGCTATTAATTCATTCATTACTTGGCAATCTACGCAGTAAATAAAATAATATACAATGTAAATTGAAAATTAACGTCGTAGGTGGAATTGAGAATTAATGTGAATTAATGTGAATTAATGAAATATAGGAAACATCGGAAAAACAAGGAAAAGAAGGAAAGAGAAAAATTCGACGTTAATTTTTACATTCGCGCTGCGCCTTAAAATTAATCGCTTACGTGTAAATCCCGATGAATCCGACGTCATCTATTGATCTCCTCCTCCTCCTAGAAATTGATCTGGTAAAAACTGAAATAAAAATTAGTAGTTATGTGTACATGTAGACAAATAATAAAACCTAAATAACAAATTAGTTTGAAATAAGGAATTGGAACAATCCAACGAAGTAAATTAACGAAACGAATCATTCGAAAAAAAAGAAACCAACGATGTGTACTTTGAATTATAGATTAATTTTGAAAATTAAAAAACCAACGAAGCGCAAGACGAATAACAAAATAAATCGTAAAAGAACAAACCAACGATGAAAGCGAGACGAAGATAGAATAGAATAAATTGAAAAATATCAACCCAACGATGTAATGAATATAGATAAAACTAGATGAACGAAGAACCCAAATATGAAAATACCTAAATACATAAAAATGCAGAAAAACACAATATTTTCATTAGTTATATTAATATTAATTGTATCTATACCAAAACCAAAGGGTGATCCTTCCTTCCTGGTCAGCATCGCAGAAGATATCTGAAACAGAAAACAAAAACGCGTGACAGTACCCCCGGCGGCTCCAGGAGTACTGAAAAAATTTGCCCAGCTGTGTCCACTTTTATGCAGTCAAGCCAAAGAATCAACGAGCCAATCAGCAGCCAGTCCGCTGGGGGCGACCATCGTCCGTGCTCCTTGAAACGTTATAAGAGCCCCCTGAGGCCCTCGCGCGGGAGTTATCTCCAACCACCAAGCAAGACAGACCGCATCGAGATGAAGAATTTAATTGAAGATTTACATTCGATCAAAATCGAAGATGGCGGCCAAGAATGTGTTTCAAGAGCAGCGGCCAAGGGACAAAACCGGTCTTTTTAAAGACCAAGAAAATCTCATTTGTGGGAACAACTTATGCAATGAACTGAACAACTTTTATATTTAACAACTCAGAGACACTTTACATCTCTGTTTTGTAACAACTTTTATATTTAACAATTCACAGACACTTTACATCTCTGTTTTGTAACAACTTTTATATTTAACAACTCAGAGACACTTTACATCTCTGTTATGGAACAAGTTATGCAATAAAACTGAACATGGTATATTTGCCTATATGTATAGGAAGGAAATTCGTCGTTAGTATTGTCGCCCGTCAATGCACTTAATTATGCAAGATCAGTATACTATCTAATTTTATTTTTTATTATACCGGTTTGTAATATCGTAAAGATCAATGCAAAAACATTATGCACAGCTCTTGTATTTCTTTGATTTATCCAAGTAGTCAAAGTATAATATTTAACAAACTTTTGATTCAAATAAAACAACGAAAGACACAAAATTTGTGTAAGCACCTGTTACATGCAACCTATGTATAAATGCATAATAACTAATATTGATATACGCATAACGAACTTAGTTTGTGATATGAAACATTAAGAAAAGTGTAAATTAATAAATAGGTTTCAAAATGGGTATTCCAGGTTTAACAATTTTCATAAACAATCGTTCAGATCGTTATTTGGAATATTTCGAGCCACGTGATACGTATTTAGTTATTTAGCTGTCAAATATATAATTCGTACAAGTGCAATTGTGTGTTTGGCGGTGATTACGATAAATACGCTCAACGAGTATCGGATTTTTTTGACGTTTTGTTAAAGTGCAATGTAGTACCATTAGTTTTGATCGATGGCGGTTGCAAGGATAAGAAACTGCAAACAGTTATATCTAGAACTAAAGAAAAGATTCGTACAGCATCATCTTTTTCTCCGATCTGTCAACAGAAAATGAAATTTTTTCCTTTACATATTTAGGAAGTTTTCAAAGATGTTACGAGAAAGAAGAATATTCGTCATGTGCAATGCTTATTCGAAGCTGATAATGCTATAGCTACTGTAGCAAGGATATTGAATTGTCCTGTATCGAGTTATGATTCAGATTTTTATGTGTTTGGGACATTGTACATACCATTTGATACATTGGACAATTACCATTAGCTGCAATATTACTAGGCAATGATTATGTAAAACGTGGTACATTTAGAAATATCTTTCATTATTTAAAGTTACGACGAATAACAAGAAAAAGGTAAAGTAATCGACAGTATTGTATAGAAGCAACTTTACAATGGTTGAGCGGATTTTACATCTTGGACAAAGCAGTCATTGGAATACTATGTAGATCACCTAGAACCGTAAGACAAAAAATGGCTATACAAATGCATCTACAGAAATACTTGCTTACTTCCATTGGGGTTTTCACAGGAATATGCAGCTCGTGCCACAACACATTCCATAAACAGAATTTTTAAATTTGATGCAGATGTTAATAGTCTAATGTACATGGAAGAAACTGATAAAAATGGAGACTGAATCATCCGAAGAGGAAGAAGAAGAGGAAGAAAACGAAGTTGAAATATTAGACATGCTTAAAGGGGTCAGAATCTGCTACCACTAATGCACTAGCTAATGTACCTAATTTGTTTGTAGATGAATTTCTTATGGGCAATTATCCTGCATATTTTATGGACTTGTTGGTTCGACGTTTATATATTTGTCCTGTACAAATAGAGAATTATTCCTATCCATTGAGCAATGTAATAAGTTTAAAAATTATTAGAGTTATATATGCATTTCTGCAATCAGGAATGAATAGAAGGAGAGGTTTTATGAAATACATGATGAGAGACTGTAATAAAAAGCTTAAATGTTACGAACCAGAAGGCACTGACACTAAATTTTCTTCCCCATTACTGTCCTTATCTAATCTTAGAGAAGTACCATTAACGAGTCCAGGATTAAAAAATAATGTACAAACATGCGTCATTGATTTTTCATTACCATTTGAATTTAAATTCAAGTTATCTAGACACAAATATATAAGCAAAGCTCATAATGAATGAAAAATTGACACGTAAATACACGTTTCAAGACCCTCTGATCATGTTTGACTTAAAACAATACTTTGGAAATAAATCGTTTGAATATAGTTTATCGAGTAAGACCTTCGAAATTATTTTCAAACGATTTATTTTCTAATTGTTCTACTATTTCAAATAATAATTTTTTGATCTTATAGCAAAGAATGTTTACTTAATATCAATTCAATAAATTCAATTTGTATTTGTATATTTTTCGCCTATACAGGCAAATATACCATGTTCAGTTTTATTACATAA